TCTAAAAACAGAGAAAGAATTTGAATTTCAAAATAAAGGCAATATTTTTCAAGTCGAGAAATATCTGAAATTTGCGATTTAAACAAATCATTTCGATTTTTAAATCTTAAATAAATATATCGAGATTTAGTACGAGAATAAGAATTCTCTTTTAATGATTTAATGATAAAATGAAATAAAAATTCGAATGCTAGAATAAATGACAAAAACGAAAAATGAATTAAATAATAATAATTGATTTTAGAAGAATTGAGAAAATATTATCATTCAATATTATATTTACATTTTTTCGTACGACGAAAAACATTGTTATTTAATCATTAGGCTAGAAATCATCTTATATAATATAAATAGAACCTTAGATTTTTCGTGATCGTTACGTAAAAAAACGAGCGATGCGAGATAAAACGATCATTTCTAAGATTAAAAATTCCGATTATCGGATTATAATTATCAAATCCGAGATCATTGAATCCCTTTAATTCCCGAATCCTCGGCAGCCAGCCAATGCAATGGAACAGTCAATGTAGCCAGCGGAGCAGCAAGCCATTCCGCCATGGAGCAGCCAGCCAATTATCTCAACGAAATCTTGCGGCATCTCCCAGAAAAAGATTCCCGGAATGTCCAATGTTGGTACTGCAAGATCGGACCAAAGTTCCTGAAATTTTGACACCGCAAGCTGTGCCCGAGGTACCAAGATTCCGGGATCTTTAGCACCAAGAACTTCCGGAGGTACCGAGACTCGGGAAATTCAGTACCCACAAGTTTTCTTAGAGGTGTCTTTGAGATGCTAGGTCCCGCAAGATCTCAGCGTGAAATGGACTTGTGTGGAACGGCTAGAGAATTTTATTAGATAGTACTCAAGAATCCTACGTGTCGACATTTACTTGAAAAAGGTAAGCTTCCACTGTCCATGCAATCTTCGTCTTACGAACGTGGACTTTAAGAGACGACCCGTTTCAGGAAATCATCGCGAATCATTTTCCATGCCTTTCGCTGCTTTTCTGCAAGCGCGGGCCGCCATAGCAACAACGACATTCGGTGCATTTTCCTGCCATGTCAATCTCCGCACAAGCGAAGGATCTTATCTAGACCTGGCAACGACATGAAATCTTCGCATGGTTGCTGAGTGTCATTGTGGCCATACATGGACAGTGCGGGGTGAGCCCTTTGTCACTGCAGAATGCCACATCTTCTGGCCTCAACAAATAATCCAGGCAGATTACTCGCTCACGCTCTGATGGGTGCGCCACATGCCTGTATGCAAGGTAAACAAGTTCTATGCCGATATCTGAACTTCTTGCAGGACATGTCCTGGGTCAAAGGCTTAGTCTTGGGGCTTGAGGTGCCCACGGGTGCACATATCGCTCTGGTTGAAGTTGGCAACTGTGACCATATTCTTCCTCTCGCGCTGCATCATCCTGCTTAAAGGCTACTGTGCAGTAAGTTCAAAGAGGCTTGCGTGATGCTGGGCATTAGGTTCTTCTGATGCGCTTGGGAGTCGGTCCTTTCGACCAGCTTAGCCCCAGCTTCCTTGAACAAGGCATCGAAGGATGGTTTGAGGGCAGAGAAACCGCTTAGTGGGACATGCTCCACTTTAGTACATAGCATTGGGCATTTGGGCACGGTTGCGGGGTCCAAGCCCTATGCTTATGGCGAAACGGGACCGCACGGCGAGCTTAAGTCCGACGAGATTCTTGCACAACAAATCTGGCTAAATGCTACCCAACTGGAGTTAACATCCTTGGCCAAGAGGCTCGCCGAACAGCTGTGAAGCTAGGGCAGCATAGGTTGGCCCATAATGCACCAAGTCAACCTAGGGGGAGCAGAGGCAGCCCGAATGTCGGCACAAGTTGGTGAGCATGCCCCAGCACGAGCTCTTAAAGAACGGTTGTCATCCCCCAGAAGTGTGGACTTGTCGACACAGAGCGACTGTCAGTTCCAGTCCAGCTTGCTCCTGGCAGTGTGATGTGCTTGTTGGCTTGGGTAGGAAAGTATCGTGTACTGAAACAATTGCCAAGAACCGCTGGCACGTCTCGCCAGGCCTGGATTTGCTTCAAGCTCGAACCATTCCCGGCGTAGAGCTGCCAGGGAACGGCGCAAAGCAGGAGTAAAGACTCCGACAATGAGTAAGCTCCTGAGTTGCATGTTCAGCTGGAGCTTAGCGTAGTGTAACCCCATACAAGAGTGACATCGCAAAACGCACCGCACGGCGAGTCTCGTGATTGGGTTGCTAAACTCCCACTTGCTGCAGCCTCCCGGAGGTGGTCCGCGCATGCCTGCAAAGCAGGGAGTTCAACCACACGAATGGCCGGTACCACCTCCCTGCCCCCCAAACGCCTCATAGAGTGGCACGTAGCGGCAGCCTTCAAACTCTTCAACCTCGGCCACTCGCCGCACGGCCGCAGCCATAGCGGCACCGAGCCGGGCTTCTTCGGAGTCGAGGTCCTCCAGTTTGGCACGCCGAGAGGTTTGCATTAACAATAGTCGTTCATGTCTATTGCTAGACACGTATATATATATATATATGGTCCCCCCCCCCAAAGATCTACCGTTTTCCATCTTTCTTCAACAATAAAACAAAATCCGTCTGCTTCATAGTGAATTTTCGCAATGCAATAAAAATCCTTCTGCCTCACAATGATAATGCCCACGACGCCATTCATAACTCTCTTCAAAGATTTCGAAAGCCGGCCGTTTCAATTGAAACGTTTCCGTTTCAATTGAAACGGCCGGGATCCAAGATCCAAGATCCAAGATTTCCCAGGACTCTTGCCGAGGCATCTTGGAATCCCATATCTTGGATTCTGCCCGTTTCAATTGACATGTTTCCGTTTCAATTGAAACGGCCGGTTTTGGATTTAGGATTCCAAGATGCCTCGGCAAGAGTCCTGGGAAATCTTGGATCTTGGATCCCGGCCGTTTCAATTGAAACGTTTCCGTTTCAATTGAAACGGCCGGGATCCAAGATCCAAGATCCAAGATTTCCCAGGACTCTTGCCGAGGCATCTTGGAATCCCATATCTTGGATTCTGCCCGTTTCAATTGACATATTTCCGTTTCAATTGAAACGGCCGGTTTTGGATTTAGGATTGCAAGATGCCTCGGCAAGAGTCCTGGGAAATCTTGGATCTTGGATCTTGGATCCCGGCCGTTTCAATTGAAACGGAAACGTTTCAATTGAAACGGCCGGTTTTCGAGATCTAGGATTCCAAGATGCCTCAGCAAGAGTTCAGGGAAATCTTAGGTCTTGGATCTTGGATCTCGGCCGTTTCAATTGAAACGGAAACGTTTCCATTGTTGAGCTTCAAAACTCCGGGTTCCAGGATTCAAGATCCCGTGGAAGCTTTTCCTGCAATCTTGAATCTTGAATCTTGGATCCCGGAGTTTTGAAGCTCAAAACTCTAGATTGAAGTTCAACACTCACGGAACCCCATAGGGCTAAGGTTTGAAAGGTTTAGGGCTTCAGGTTGAGGCATTAGAACCTGAGCCGGCAATTAAAACTAAACCCTTAATTTTTAAGCCCTATAGGGTTAAGGTGTTAAGGTTTAGGGTTTACGATTTAGGCATTCAAACTTAAACTCTCGACCTTTAAACCCTAAAGGGTTAAGGTTTCAAGGCTTAGGGCTCAAGATTTAGTCATTTCAAGCTAAGCCCATAGAGTTTAAACCTCAAGGGTTTAAGGTTTATAGGTATGAAACATGAGCCCTAAACCCTCTAGGGGTCTAAAAGGTTCAAGGGTGTTCAGCCCACAGGCGCTGAAGGTTTAAGGTCTGGGGATTGAAACCTAGGTTTGGGCATTCAAACTGGTTTAAGCCTTAATCCCTGTAGGGCCAGCTATTTAAACCGAATAGCTTACCTTGAAACGCTATAGGTTTAAAGGTTGAGGTTCAAGACCTTTAAGCCTCTGGGGTTTAAAGGTTTAGGTTTTTGCAGAGTTTGTCTACCCTATTCGGGGTAGCCCTATAGGGTTTTAACCCTATAGGGGTTCAAGGTTCAGGGTTTAAGAGGGCATTGCAACAACCCAACCCTAAACCCTCAGGGATTGAACCCCTTCACTGTTACCCTTAAGCCTTGAAGCATATAGGTTTAGGGTTATAACGCTGAAGAACCCTCAGGGATTTATACTGCTTTCCTTAAGGCTGAAAGCACAAACGGTTTAGGGTTATAACGCTGAAGAACCCTCAGGGGTTTAACCCCTTTACTGTTTTCCTTAAGCCTTAAGGCATATAGGGTGTAGGGTTATCACGCTGAAGGTATAAATGCCCAGACCTTAGGTACATCAGGCTTAGGCATTAAAAACCTTTAAGCCCTATAAGGTTGTTAAAGGTTTAAGGTCAAGCCTTAAACCCTATAGGGCTCTATAGGGTTACGGTTTTTTCAGGGTTTATCAACCCTAAACGCTATGAGGGGTTAAAGGTTTAGGGTTGAAGTTTCAGGGCATTGCAAAAACACAACCCTAAACCCTCAGAGATTTAACCACTTTACTGTTTTCCTTAAGCCTTCAGGCATATAGAGTTTAGGGTTATAACGCTAAAATCTATAGGATTAGCACCTTATACCCCTATGTATTGTAGGCCTTGAGGCCTAAATCCTAACCGTAAATCCCATAAAGTTCTGCCTGTGCTTGTAGGCCTCGCCTCATGTGGAAATGCAAAGGAAAAGTAGAATAAGTACCCACTATTACCCACTGCATGTATGTATATAGGGTATATGTCTTGCATATCAAATACAGATACTGGAGATCCTCGAACCATAAGACTAGGAAGTTTTCGAGCGCAAAAGGTGATGCGGAAAAATCATGTACTGTAAGCCCCGGGGACGCGAGAATACTATGAGCAAAGACCTTTTCACTATTTCCCTCTTGATTGCCGGTTCGGTGTCTTGGGTTGGTGCAGGATCGGTTAGCTATTGTTACGAGGGACTAGATCAGAAGGGGTTCTGGATAGTAAAAGCATTAAAAAGGGGTAGATCTCTGGGGGGGGGAAGCTTATATATATGTATACATATACGTACATATACATATATATATATGTATAGATACACACATATACATATACATGTGTGCACTGTATGTCTGTATGTATGTGCGTATGTGCGTTTGGATAATTCTAGCTATGTTCAGGGTTCCTAGAGTGCTGGTAGCGGTTTTCGGTTGTTTCCTGCATAGCTGAAGGGGGCCCGTTGTTTAAGGGGCCTACTTGCAGGGCCTTCGGGTTTGCTGGTCGGTATGCACTGGATTTGAGATTCCGGGCTGGGGATGTGTCGTTCTCAAAACAACATCTGAGAGAGAGTTGCAGCGTCTTATGCTTCCTTCCCTGTCGCTAGCCTCTACTTCTTCCCAATCTCCTCTCCAAGAGGCGGCGGCGAAGCCAGGAGCACTGGGAAGGAGCCCACAGAAGCTCGGCGAACCCGGCGGACCGCCTCAGACACCCCAAATAAATTGGACCCCTCCATGCGAGATGCACCGGGACGAGGCCTGCTTCAGCTGGTCCTCGTAGGATCTCAGCCAATCCTCCTCTGGCACCCGATGCAAGAAAGCTTCAAGCCGCATCGAGGAAGTAACTTTGGATGCTCCTCCGCAGTTCGGAGGGCCGCAGGCAACGCAGCATACCGGATCAGGTCCTGAGGTTCGGGTCTGCATGTGTAGCCAAAATTGGCATTCTGGGCGGACGTTTGACTCAACAGCTGCACTGCTATGCAGGACTCACTCTGTCACACCTGTGGGATCCTGTGGGTAAGCCCAGTGGCATTGGACCCCAGCTGCAGTACGAGTCCGTGACTCGGCTGCCTCAGAGTCTCTTTGTGTGAGTTCGATAAACAATCTCAAACAGAGTCGCGGCTCCAGAGCTCCTCCAGGGTTTAGGGTTTTGAAACCCTAAACATCCCTAAACCCTAAACCCCTAACCCTAAAAATAGCTCTGCGTAATCCCATGACCAAGATGCAAGGCCGCAGCCTCCTCCAGCAAGTCGGAGTCCAAGGCGTCGCTGAGGGCTCGAAAGTTCAGTCCTTTGCAGAGCTTCTTCGAAAATCCTTGATGCTGTGATTTTGTCGTGAGGAAACTTACTGGAAGACCATGCGTTTAACGCGTCCCATACACATCCACAGAGCAGGAAAATGCAAAAGCAGCATCCGGGCCACCTGCATTTACAAACTCTCCAACGTCTTGCATGCCTCCGGTAGCAGCCCGAAACAGTTTTATGGGCTGCAACAGGACACGGTCTGGGATTTCTGGCCTTGGCAGCGAGCCTGCAACACCTGGCCATCACGCGACTCGCCACGCCGACCCTGCGCGATACTGCACTTCTACGCGGCAATCCCGACCTGCAGGATGTTGGCGGAGACGGTCCCTTGCCTAGGAGGAGGGGTGTGAACAGGTGTCATGGCTTCAGCATGCTTCAGCAATCGAACAGCGTTTACCTTGAAGTTGCAAGCAGGCCACGTCAAGCTGTCACCAACCTAGGCACCCAGTGTGCAGGAGGCATCTGGCATCTGATGTACGAAAAAGAGCGACAAAGCCTTTTCATCCAATGCCCCACAGAAGCCGGATGGTGCAGGTCTCCCATTTGCCAGGGGTTCTGGGAGGTTCCTCAAGCCTTTCAGTTACTTTCAGTTCACTTGAGGCATCCAAGGCACAAACACTGCACAGGTCTTCTTCGCCTCAGTGAGACCGGTCGGGCGAGGTTGCAGCCGCCTCAACCCAAGCTCCAGGCACGGGCAAAGGTCAGGAACATGCAATCGTCATGTGCAAACCTATTGCAAGTCCGATAATCTGGAGGCTGAGGCCCAGACGCGCAGGCAGCAACCTGAGCAGCAGTTTGTCCACACACCTTGATTACATAGTCCCAGCCGCCAAATTTACAAAGAAGTCGTCTCCGACACTCGGGGCCCGACCGCTGCCCCGGGGGCCACCAGCAGTGAGGTCGGCAGGCCGATCTGCGGCAGCAAGCAGACTTACAGACAGGCCCGAGGATAAAGAAGACGTGGAGCAGGGGCCACGGGGGTCCGCGGGACACCCCTCCAAGACCCCCTCAGCCTTGAGCAAGCTGCTTGGGTCTTCGATTGGCTTCACACCAGGGTCCAGCAGGCAGTCCAAAGCAGTCCTCACGCAATACGACTGCGCAAGATCCCGGTGCGACACTCGGCTGCCAGCAAGACAACACTGAGCTCCTGGCCAAAGGGCTGCAACCGAGACCAAAATGGCCACCATTTCCTGGCCGCTGCACTGTCCACGTGGGCGTTTCGACTGGCTCTTTGCCCAAAAGTCCTTCTGCCATTCTGCCCGTCTCTCCGGCGAGGAAGCTGGCTCAGCCCAAACATCGACGTCTTCTACCTATCATCAAGTCGAAATATGTACCAACACTCCGAGCAACCAGGAAAAAGCAACAACAGAGCAACTTTGCCTAAACTTTCTAAAGGGAAACCTGCTTTTCAGAACTTAACATGCGCTTCAGTGGAGGCGCATGCTGGGCTCGGGCCAATCCTCGCAGGCAGCGGCTTTGAGGCGCCGGACCCCCGGTAAAGGACAGACCGGGTTCCCAGGGCCTGCCACAGTAGACAGCTACACTGTCCTACCGACAGATGCACTGCAAATCACGGATTTCGTTGATCTTGCCAACAACAACATGCGGAACTTCTGCGGAAGATCTTCGGCTTGGAGCTGCAAGAAACTTACACGCCCCCCTGCACCTTCCAAGCCGCGCAAGGAGCCAAAGCCTCAGAGCCAGCCAATGTCGCACAGGCAGCTACATGCTGCTTCCGGAACCCGGGCAAGGGGCATGAATGTCAACCGCCAGCCCAACCATCCACCGACCCATCTCATTCCGGCTCACTCCAGGCTGTAACAACACCAGCCAGACATCGCCAAAACAGAGTAACGAGCAGAACAAGGGTATGAGGACTGAGAAGTGTAGACGGCCTTTTCTTGACCCTTAGCGTCAAGTCCCTCACTGCACTGACTACCGAAACGGTGGCATGAAAGGTGGAGCTCTGCACACTCTCCAGTGAAGCACCGACACCCGCAAGGTTCAGAATCCATGCAGGCAATGGTCCCACACCGATGAGCTGACAGAGTGCATCACAGAAGTGACAGCAGTTTCGGCGCAAGATCTGGTAGCTATTCATGGGCCAGTCCTCCATCATGTCGCGAATGATCTCAAGAACTTGTGCATGGGAGTAACTCGTGTGCCCCATCTGAATGCTTTCTCTGTAAGAATGCTGTCTGCAGCCTTGTGGACGGCAACTCCATATCCCAGTTTCAAAGCCTTCCTCGATCGGATCGTCCACGCCCAGACCTCCAAAGCTCCACTCTTGTCCGTAGACTTGCACGGCCGCATGGTAAGCACCAGAGCCCATTGGCTTGAGGATTACATTCAGTCGCTGGATCGCTTTGCTATCTCCCAGGTCGTAGATGTTCAACAGAACTGGCTCCTGATTCTCAACGCTCGCTTCCTTTCTGGGGTGAGGGGGCGGGGAGCTAACATGTGCTGCATCCAAACGCGCAATGGCCATCATACCCTCAGCAGTGCGGACGGCATGACTTCCCCGGCCGTGGATGGACACACGCACCCCCAAAGCCCTTGAACTTGCAGGATCAACGTGGGCCGCATCTGCAGCGCCGTCAAACTCCACCCAGCGGAAGTCCACTTGACGTCGGCGTTGCAAGTAAGGCTGCCTTCGCATAGGGAAAGTGGAGTCTGCCTCCTCTGCCGGAGCGGGAGCCTTCGAGCTCGCACAAGGGCCACCCTGTGCTTCGGACGGTGCGGCTGGCAAGCGCCTGTCAGCGTATGACGTTGCTCGATGCACTCGACCTCCTGTCAGCTCAAACTCCGACGCGCTGCTCTTACCAGTCTTACCATTCCCGTGATGGTGTTGAGAAAGCTCACCCGTCTCCGAGGACTGCGAATCTGAAGGGGTCGGTGCGCGTCGCATGAGGTACTTCGATCGGGGCATGTCGACATCCTGTGAGGCTGGTATGCCATGTATGCCATGCATCGGAACTCGGATGAAGGCCTCTGAGCAAGGTCGGAACTTTGCCGACCTAACCTCAGTGAGACAAATCGCAATGTTCGCAAAAAGGGCATTGCTTTGACGTTGGCAAGCATGTCTTGTATTTCTTGTGGTGTGGCGACAAAGGACCCTCGACGACACCCTAGCCATCTATGGTTCAAGTTCAGCGAGGCTATGCATACTCAACATATTCACCTTGAAAGTACGGCTGCTTGAGGCTTGAGCCAGCTGCTAAGAACAGTTGGCTAACAGTAGGCTGTCCTGAGCGGCCGGTCTAAGAATGTGAGCACAAATGAACACAAGGCAACATGCCCAGGTCCCAACATGGCAATGTGTCGCCTGTCACAGACGAGCCACACCATCACGAAGAAGCAGGATGTTCGGCATCGCCACTTGTGGCATGGCTGCTTCATCAGGCCTGTAGAGTCCCTGGTGCATCGAGTGAATGGTACAGATTCAGTTTCATGGATGCAACCCATGTACCAGTTCGAAGGAGGCAGCCTCCTACGCCAATGAGTGCATGTATGCGCTGGCGATCTAAGCTCAATCCTCATGCCCCTCTTGGCGGCCCCGAGCAAAGCTCAAAGTGGCGGATGGCTTTGCAGGGACAGCAGCCAATGGGGCTTTCATTGACAAGAAGCTTAAGGTGCAATTAAGGTTTGGCCATCACTTCCTCACTAGACTGTGCATGACTGTGCTGTTTTCGCTTCCCGCCAACGCTTCTGTCCATGGAGCGGGCTGGAATGGTCTTGTGCTGTACATTAAAAGTCTAGAGTCTAAGAGTAAATGTAGTCCAAACAGCTCCACCTTAATGTCGGTTGCGTGTCGTACTACAAGGTCTATGGCTGTCTGAGATGTGCATTTGGAGGTGGCCAACTCGTCAAGAACAGTACCCATGATCAAAGGAGCTTAGCTGCTGTACAGTCCAGCATTGCAGGAAGTGGCGCTCATAGGGCAGCAGTTCAACATCGAGAGCCGAGGGTTTTCCCGACAAAGGAACAACAGAAGTCTTCCAATATGTCACTCTAGATTTCCGACTTGAGCTCCACATGCTGCGAAATGCTCGGCAGCAGCTCTGATTCACGGCGCCGGCAATGGAAAAGACAACATGCACGGGCGCATTTGATCTGCATGCACTTGAAGATGCAAAACCCAGGAACCGCATGCCTAGGAGTGAGAATTCTGCTGACTTCTGATAAGGTTGTGATCTGGTTCTGATTCGAAGAAGAATACTGCATCAAATCGGTGCTGCAAGACAGGTTTCCGGAACCGGCAAGTCGCAGGGGGCCATGTGCTTCATGCAGAACTTGCCGGGGAGGGGCCATATTATTCTATGACGGACCAATCTAGAACCTTCACTGACTCCTGCAGCCATGCCGAGAAGGAGACTTACATCAAGCGGGAGGTGGAGCAAAAAAAGAAAACCCAGCTTAGCTGGGGCCGGCGGACTCTCTTTCTCTGTGTGACACACAGCCTCACCGATGAGGGTTCGAGGAACCTACCAGTATGGCGCGTATCGTGCTCTGGTTGTCAAGCCAGAGAATCCGCATCTGTGTTCCACAGCAATGGAACAGGGATCAAGCTTTGATCCCCGTGTCCTACTGCTGCAAGCATGTCATGAGCAGAACTTCCCAAGATCACCCTGTGGCCTACGGCAAGGCAATGCATGCCGTGCTTCTGTCACTCCCACACAGGAAGGTCAGAGAGCACGTGTTCATGATCACAGTGCCGCAGAACCGAGGGAATCACGACTCAAAGCTCAGCTGTGCTAAACTGGTCTCTCCGCAATCAAGCGACAAGTTATGGTATGGGGTCCGCGTTAGCAAGGGATGACGGCCCATAAAGCAGCTCGTCGGATTTAGGCTGGCGACATCCATGCCGGGTTTTCGATTTAAGTTGGCGGTGAGATGCTCAACGTGCAGAGAGAATTCGTGAGCTGCGGCTGTTGGAGACAACGGCTGCCAGACCAGCAGCAGCCAGTGCGGCTGCAGCTGCGGCGAAGATATGCACCTTCACAAAATGGAAGGCTTCCATAAACTTCAGCTGTTGGGCTGGTACCAAGCTGTTTCTTCTACGTACAACTCGATTCGTGCCTGGCCCCACGATCGGAGTGTATTGCCGCGGGCCGCAAGAGGACACGGTGTCCTGTAAGAGTTGACTGAAAACGCTCACGGCCGCAAGCACCCACGAAATGGAGATGATGCAGGCCTCCTGAACGGCGTCAGCCTGCGTGCGCGGCCTGCCAAGTCCTCAACGTCGCCTGCTCTGACACAGCCGAAAGCAGAGAGGGGGGCCGAAAAAAAATGTCGAGGACATGGTGGTGGAGCATCTTAGGTTGAAGTATTAGGCGCTCTAAACCTGATTCAAAGCCTCGGTGCAACTCATATCTTTTGTGGTTGATGTCCACCTAACAAAGTGCACAGCATAGCAAGACCCAACGAGTCTTCGAATACATTTGGGATTGCTGCAGTCGAAATTTGTTGGAAGGGTTTCAGAATGTGCTCTCGACTCTGCACAACCAGTCCTTAGGATGATCATTCCCAAGCAGTTTGGCACAACAACCCCGTACCATGACGAGACACGCAAGGTCGTGTGCGAGCCTTGGCCCCGAGCCACACTACCACCGAACAGCATCATGGGCCAAAAATGCTTAGATCAGATCGAAGCAGACGTCTGTCTGTGTCTGTTTCAGTTTCAACTGCGATGTCCTCCATCGGCGCATCCAGCTCGTTGCCGTGTCCAGTCGTAAACCCCGAGACGCGTGTGAAACATCTTCGAATCGAATCCTCACAGAGCTCTGCGGACAACATGAGAGACTCAACGTGTAATTAAGCCTTGCCCTTCCTGCCTGCACCTTTCAAGGCTGTGATGACAGGCACGTCGCGCAGAGACTCAGTCGGTTTCTTCGCGCCACCGGTGCCTATAGCAAACTCTACTACAATCAAGCCACACTGCACGGCTCAGAGCCAGGGCCTTTCAAGCAGCAAAGACTTCGCTTTGCGCATGACTGAGCCAGGCGCAGTTCAGGAAGCGCATGTACTCGTCCAGAATCAGGTACGAGTCCTTCCGCGTGGGTTGGTCGGAATGAACAGGCAAAGCTGCAATTCAACAGTGAAGGGCGTGGGGCTCCTTCATCGTCTCATTGTCTTCAGGGACAAGGCAGTCAATCTGAGAGTGGCGCGCCAAGAAACCCTTGAAGTCGTCCGAGGAAACGGTCAGCTTCCTGGCCCCAGCAACCGAAAGCTGATCAAGGCTTGTCTCTTGGGATGTTCCCCCGTATACTGACAGTCCTCAATGGGGATTATGGCAGGGGGACTCTCATCCATAATATTAAGCACTGTTAGTATAAGGGGAACCTCCCAACTTGTCTCGTTTGCCTGCTGGGGCAATGCTACTTCATAATAGAAGATAGTGCTTGTTTCTTGTCGAGTCGCTGGGCATTGCGCAAAGCTTCCTCGCCGGCGTTCTCTCCTACGCAGACGTGCAGCATTCGCCAACTGGGAGTTTACGAAAGTAAGGGACCCTAATACAGACCCCCAAACAATAGGATCCCCTTGTGATCAGGACCCCATCAAGGTACCCCTAATTTCGGAAACGCCAACTAGTACTCCGGGCAAGTGCCACCCCTGCCTTCCAGCAGCAAGCATTGGAAGACCTTCCACCGAACCGGCTTGAGCTGGCGGATGAAGGAGCCCATGTCCTCTGTGCAACTATACTCCCCTTAGAACCTTAAAAAAAACAAATTAACATCCTCTTGGGTTTTACATAAACAAAAAGAAAAAAGCCCAAGGGGGATACTGTGCGTCTCATGATCATTACCCTTGCCTACAAGAGCTCTGCCTCGTTGACATTGAGGGCATTGACGACTGTGTTCACCTGCAGAGTCGGATCTGAGCAGTTCTGAGTCCCATAGCCGCACGTGAGTACACGTTCCAGTTAATCACTTCTCGCTGTTTGCTTGTTTGGAACCTGTGGGCCTGCCATATATGACTTAGCTACCGGCCGCAGTGGCATTGGAACCCTAAACCCTAAGCCCGAAGCCCTAAACCCTGAATGAGGGCGCCACAGGTCCAGAGTGAGGCTTCAGGGCATGAGCGGAATTTTGTGACCCTGTCTTCCCTCCGCACCAGGAACCAGGGTGCAAGAAAGTCGCCTTTTCTTTGGTCATCTGGACCCTCACGACTTTGCACTCTCTTTTTGCCTTTTTAAATGAACGCTCCCAAACCAAGCCTTGAACTTGATGCTTGCCTCCTCGCACCACTTGCGGATAGACTCCAGCCTGGCATATGGGCTTCGTGGAAAAGACCGCAGAAAATTCCTGGGATTCCAAGACGAGCGGCTGCTGCAGGTGGGATCCCCTGCCACGCCCGATCTTCAGGTTGGTTTCCTGCACAGATCTCCGGGGCGCCCTCAGGTCCGAAGACCAGGCTCTTGTTGCGAAGGGAACCGGCACGAAACGTCGAGGAAGACAAGTTCCCACTCTAAACAGCCAGAACATCAAGAATTAAAGGTCCAAAGGCTGATACTGTTCAAGCAGCCCGTGGGAAAGAGACCCGGGGGAGAAATCCCGAAGAGCTCATCAAGAGTCGACGTGTCCGGAGAAGTGTTGCGAGAGGTACAAAGGCAGCAACGAAGTGGGGCTCCCAAAAGGATCCCCTGATAACAGGGACCCCAGAAACGTACCCCTGTTATCGTAAACCCACCCCAATTGTGAGATTGTGTGGGTAGCATCCAGATAATCCGAACGATTCCACGACGAAAGCTCTCCCAGTCGACATGTTGTAATTTGAATTCGGGTGCTTGACTCCTGGCTTGACAGAAAAAAAGCGTGAAGAGATCGTCCTCCTGGAAGGAGTCACAGGAGATGGCCAAGATGTCCACATACGTACCTCTCCCACCAACTCCAATCAAGCACAAGCGGCCGAACATGACACGACATGAAGACACACTCCTCTGTTGCAAAAAGACCATTCCATCGCCCTTCGCGGCACCATTCTTCCGAATCCAGTCTTCGGTAATCTTGCTGCCGTTGCTGACGATGCTGACGGACTGCAGTTCAAGCTCCTCGGTGAGAGAAGCACGGTCAAAGCCTGGCTGGGCTTGGAATGTCTCAAAGGTGAGGAGCCTCCTTGCAAAAGCGGCACAGCTCTGCGAGCTCCTGGTGCAAAGCGAGGGGGTCGGATCTCTTTTACGCACTTGGACGGCTAAAGCATGCATCCACCAAGACCTTCTCATGCAGGAAGGGCTCGCCGCCACTGAAGTTCAGCCTCCGCAAAGCTTAGTACATGGAGCTCAACTTGGCGAGTTTCCGTGCCGACCGGCTGCGCCATTGCTCTGGAAGGCGAAGCCGGCAGAGTCTGAGCGCTCTACTTTTGCATGCCCGCCCAGTGGAGGCGGCGTAAGCACTGCTTTGCCTGGCGTTTCACAGAATGAAGTCTCTCTCTGGGAAGGAACAAAATGGAGTTCCAAGAACTGCTGGCGCGCTCGCCACCCCGTCCTCCCCGCCTCATCCATTCCCTCCTTCGTCTGCGGCAGGAAGAAGGATGTCTTGGCGGTGTGGAAGCAGAACTTGCAAGTGTAATTGCACTGCCTGGCGTGCTGCAGGAAGCACCACTGCACCATTCTGCGTCGATTTTTTCTGGAACTTCGACTTATGGACTGGTGGCCTGGTGTAGTGCCAATTCACGGAAAGCGGCACCGGCATCGCATGGAAATTCTTCACCTGTGCTTCTACGAGGGCGAGGGCCCGCTCCAAGACATCTCCTGGCGGCCATAGGCTGATTTCGGCCACAAGTATGGCGTAAGCCCATGTGCATGCACCAGGCACTGGTGGTCTTACACAGATGTGCACGACAAACGCAGCACTCTAAGACTCTTTATCGTTTTCTTGCTGCACCAGATACACCAATAATGTGTTTGGGTACCTTTGTAATTTGTAAACAGAATGCTGCCATGCTTGGGGGCTTTTGGGGCCTTCGTGCCAGACATGGCCCTTGCCTTAAGGGGGGGGGGGACCCCAAAAAGTTACCGGTAACATTCCAAAGTTACCGGTAACATTTCCCGGTCTCTCGCCGGGCATCTGGGAAAAACGTGCAAACCTACCCCACAATCCGTGTGACATATAAAAGACATGAAAGAGACAGAGAACGGAAGAATGTATGTTGAGGTCTCTGTGTGGGCAAGGCGCACAAGCCAAAATGTTACAAAGCCTGGGGGGGTTCCCTGGTAACATTTCCGACCTCCCAAAATGTTTCCACGAAACCATCGGTAACTGACGCAGCGCCCCCCCCCCCCCTCCCCCCACTTGGAAACATTTCCTATAGCAGGGCCATTGCAAGACGCCACCGAAATCGGGCCTTCGCTTCCGGAGGCATCAAGGAAGTGCATGGCCTTGACCAGGTCATGTTTCGCCCGATTGATGCCACTTCTACCCTCAAAGAGCTCGTGCCTGAAACCTAGGTCGTTTCTAACCTCTACGAGGCACTTGCTCGACCTACTGAACTCAGATTCATCACCATCGCCTGACCCTCCGGGAGCTGCAGCGTCGAGTAAGCACGCGCCAGACGCTCCCGAACCGCCTCGTGGCGTTCCAGTGCCTCCTCCACAGATGATCGAGGTTGAGGCAATCAATCACTCTAACTGCCTCGCCCTGGGGTTTCAGCCTTTCAGTATCGCCTGTAAAACAACAGAGCCTTGCAACTGCCATGGCCTCTTCAGAGGTGATTGCGCCTGGTCTGGCACGCACGCGTCTGGAGCGTGCCTGCGGCATCAGGTTAGCAGCACTGCACAAAGCCTCTTAAGTACTTAAGCTTAAGAACTTCGTGGCGCCTCTTCCGGGAGCGTCATGACCAAGAAGATGACGGGTCTTCCAAAAGGAAGCAAGTCCGCCAGGTCCGTCGGCATCCGGGAGATTTCCGGATGCTCACACTGGAAGTCATAGGTGAGCGCATAAGCTGCCGAAGATGGCCAGAAGCGATCCACAAGCACAGGCTGCGTTGGCTCCAACTGCCGAAGGCTGGCAGCACAAACGTAGTTTCCCAGAAGGTAGAAGGCCCTACGGAGTTGTGGGTCTGCCGCATCGAAATGATGCCGCAGATGCTCCAGCTCTGTCGGGGGCGTCTTGAGAAGCAAGGCCTGCAAGGACTGTTGCAAGTTTCTCGCCAGTGTGGATTTTCCAACGCCGTCCGCGCCCTCCAAGATAAGGACGGGTGACGTGCTCTGTGTGGTTGGGGCCTGCATTCGGCGTCATGCCAAACACAACCCTCTTCGAAAAGTATTGTGGCTCCATTTTAATATCACCTCATGTGCTGCTGTGGTCCGCCTCTACCTGCAGGCGGTGCCAAATTGCAACCGCTTCCCTTCCGCGCGGATCATGTTCCAAGACGCTGCACGCAGCTTCCGCTGATCGGAACATGGCGATCTTGGACATGTCCTGCACAAGGTGCACGCGTCACTGGAGGAGATAGTTCCGATCCACATGCATGCTTTTTTTCGGCGCTTTGCCTGCAGCACTGTTGGCATGGTTTGCGGGGGGCACGTTGAGCTCACAGCTGCAAGTCCAGCAGATACCCACCAAGCTCGTAACTAAGGGCGTTCGCTCTCTTAGGAGACACTTCAGGCACTAGGCCCCACAAGGCCCCAAGTGCTCACATGCTCACATTCCAGCCTACCTCAGATCAATGCATCTCAACTGGCAAGGAAGTAATAAGCAACTTAACGCAGGACACAGCGATGCTCCTTCCTGCCCCAGCAAAAAGGTGAGGCATGGGGCAGATAGGAGAGGCATATTACACTGGTGCGGCGATGTGTGCTTCTCCAGAAAGCACAGGGAATGGGTGGATCCACGGATTCCTAGCCATCTTTAAGGGACTACCAACGGCCAAACACCGCCAACTCAGCCTAAAACAACAAGTGACACAACCCACGACATGCTTCGCGTGAAAAGGATGTCTCAAGCTCAGGCTGCATGTGGCGTGCCCACACGCGTTGCTGACCGTTCCTTCCTTTTCTCTGCACGGCCAACACTTCGGATGCTTCTTTGAATTCGGGTCTCCCCAAACAGGAGTACACAAGAGTCGCCATCGGCTGAAGCCAAATCTATTCGAAACTCTGGCCATTGCGCAGTGTCTCAAGGCAGGTCAAAGTTGCAGCTTTGTTTCTGCAGCCTCATCTGCCTGCTGATGTTGTGGGCTGAGCTTGGCAGACTCGGGGCTACTCTGTCCTGGTTCAGTCTCCGTGTCCAAGCTGGCTGGTGGCCTCGGGGTCGATGACAGAGAGAGCATGTATAAACATGCTACCAAAATGCTGCAATTGTGCCGCAGTCTGTCAAGCTGCGGAAGGGAAGGCTTGTCGTAGAACCACGCAATGAGGCTGCAGATGAAGACCACGACGGCAAGTCCTGACAGGCGGCTTCAGACAACTTCGCCCCGCAAAGCAGCTGCTCAGTAGCTTGCAAGCAGTGCCATGTGTCAGGTGTCGGGGTTTAGGAGCTTCAAGTCCTAGCTGTGCCAGGAGTGGCAGCAGGAAGTCGCCGTTCATGTTCCGCAATACCATGTCCAAAAGAGGGTTCTGCAGGAAAGACACAAGGCCGGCTATGATGTTTGCCTGGGTTCACAGGGAAGTCTGACAGCCTCTCAGGCTGAATCTGAGGGATGCAACAGAGAAACCATGCCAGCAAGCGTAGCGAACTGCTCGGCCGGGTATTCCTGAGCCATCAGGGACGCAGCGAGATGTAATCAGAACAAGGCGATTGCTGTTCTGCTTGAAACCCCTGAGACGCCATGGCTCTGAAATGAGGAAAGTGAAAAATGTCGAGAAGAACAGTTGACGGTGACAAGCAGATACGATGTACAGAACTGGCAGAAGCCACCTTGGATGCACATCCCTCTGCCGGACTGTGAACGTGACAACATCGCAAGATGCCAACGCTTTCCCTGCCGCTAGAACGATCTAACATGTGCAGTTCCGGCTGACGGCTATCGGATGTACGAGGCGCGGCTCGACAAAGGGTCGGACGGCCAGAAAGAGTGCAGCAAGGCCGGCCGTCGCGCAGAACGGGGCACGCCGGTGCCCGAATCGCGCCACGATCCAGCCGAAGGCCGGGATGGAAAGGAAGCCCCCGGCTGCTTGCAGAAAATTGAATACGCTGAGCTCATGTTCCAGGTCGAGACCTTGCCTACCTGCTTGCAGCAGCTGCTCGTTCTTCCAACGGAGTTCGGGTGCCATCCATCCCATCAAGCATCGGTTCAGGCCGAGCTGGGTAAAGTGGAATGTGAGGAATCCAAGAAACTTCCAGGTCCTCGCCTCAGAAGCAGGCAAGGTCACGAGTCCAATCTCCAACACAACTTCTTCTTTAACCAGTCATGCTGCAAAGCAGTTGCAATCGCAACCCTTGAGCAAACCTTACCAAATGAGCCGCAGTGAACTACTGTGTCGACCCGACTTCAGGTGCAAAAGACAGCTCAGGCTGAGTGTCAATGCTAAGCGCTGAGACGCAGCGCTCCCGGGCAGTCAGACTTTTGGCTTGATCTTCGGTCTGCCTCGAGGACAGGCGACAGGGAGTTGTGTGACTTTGCTGGCTTGTCATCTGGCTTCTTCTTTCGTTGGCTTCTTCCTGGTGTGTCCCTGCGCTGCATGGACCGACGCATACCTAAACACAATGGAAACTCAATCCTCAACCTGATTATGAGCGTCCGGCACCTAAAACCCTAAACCCTAAAAGCCTAAAACCCGTTTTTTTGTTGAGGAGGGACTGCAGTGCGATTTGCCGTCAAAGGCGCCCGGCGAAGCCTCTGACCCAGCACTACTGGCTGACACCAGAAGCAAGCTGCACGTGTTGCAGCCACCCTACTGGCACAACTTGAAATGTGACTACCTTCTGATAGCTTTGGTATATCTGACGACTGCACTCATAAAGCTCAGTTTCACGATTTATACACTCTTTTTCACTGATGAACTCTAACCTAACCCGAAACACTAAAACCCTTAAAACCCCAAACCCCAAAGTAGATACTCTTGGAGGTTCCAAGCTGCTCCAAGCTGCCAGCTGACTTGATGCGACATCGGGACCAAGTTAAGCGAGTTCCTGCTGTCTTGCAACTATGTCATGGGGTATAGAATATATAAGAAATTAGAAATAGTATAATATATATACATATGTATTATATACAATTTATAATATACATATATATATATATATATTCATTTTTATGTTGCTCTGAGGCCACTCTCATGGTTCTTTCGAGAATTTGAGGGAAGTCTCGGCCCTGAGATGTTTGAGAGAAGTGTCCTGGCTTCAGGGCTTCGTCTGGCCACAGCCATCCCGAGAAGCACCTTAACATTTGCTCCCCGTGCTTTGAACTGGGTTTTAGGGTTTAGGGTTTTAGGGTTTTAGGGTTTTAGGGTTTTAGGGTTTTAGGGTTTCTGCAACTGGGTCTGCTATGCCAATCGCACAATTCTGATGCATTTTTTTTGCATCTGGGTTGGGGTTGAGGCTGCGTAGGTTCGGACAGCCCGGAGCATCACGCATCCCATGGTCTGATCACTGTCTAACCAGCTTAAACCCGAGGAAGAAGTGCCTCAATCCAGCGAAGGCTCATGTTAAGCGCTTCCATGCCGACATGGACCAGGGCCACGCTTCGAAGAGCCAGCCCCGCCCGGTAGGCCAGATCAAAAACTGCCAAGGGTCAAGCTCGAAGCTCTGCACAGCCAACCATAAGATCACACACAGCACAAGCCATGCACTTAGGACTTAGGTCAGAATCACTTCTGTTTGGGTGCAGCACAAAATTTGCACCGACGTTGTAGCTGTCACTGCTTGTTGCGAAAAGTGAGAGCGAAACTCAATTTTGAAATCGAGGGTTCCCGTGTTCCTTCTCTATTTCGGCTGGTTTTGCAACAAGCCCCTCTGAAATACGAAGTTCCGCCACTGAATTTGTCCCTCAATTTCTTTTTCCCCCTCCCCTCTCCCCCTTGAAAATCAGACATCCAGCCCCTGAATTGCTTAGCTTGGCGAAATACAGTGAGAAATCCAGCACCTCTATTCGCAAAACTTAAGAAGTCCGCCCCTGAACTTCGTAAATTTTCTTAAGTTGTTAAGGAATCCAGACCCTACCTCAGCTTCTAGCGCGGAGGGATTTCAGCTGCAAACCGCGCCAGATTTTTGGCTCAATTTCACCCCCGAACACATGCTGCTGTCATATCCCTTTCTTCAGACACAAGCATGTCTTGTAGGCCCTCCGCCCCTTCTCTTTGCGTGACATGTATTCTCTCCCATTCCATCCCCGCCCCACAAATGCTGCTTTCATATCCCGCGCCCCTTTCTTCGTCACACAACAGGCATAAGCAAGTCTTGTAAGCAGGGTCCTGCTACCCTCTTCTTCCTCCCTGGCTGGATTTCTTATTTGAAGAGTCGGAAATCTCTACTAAACTTTCTGCTCAATTTCTCAGGATTGAAAATTTGGAGGTTTGGACTTCTTAAACTTGCGCAATTGAGGGGCTGGATTTTCTTTAGTTCAAGACTTGGGCTGTCGCATGTTTCTGTCAGGTGGAAATTCAATTTGTTGAGGTGGTTTCTGCGAAAAAAATAGTAAAGGTGCCGCATAATGAAGAATTCAGAAATCGAGGGTATCTTATCAACAACTACGTAGAGGTTTCATGTCCAGTGCAGTCACTGTACTCTTAGTCATGGGACATGCCCAAGTGCCTTGAAAAGCCAGGGCCGAGATCGAAAACATGGCCACAAAGCAGGAGATAACCACCCCCTTGGCCTTTCCAAAGGCGTTTCCCAAAGAGAAGCCTCGGAAGCCAAACTGGTTTAGAAGGGCTAGCGACTAGATGCACACACAATGACGCATCTACTGCAATGTGCCAGGATGCTCGACAAGTGGACGCAGCAGCCGCCAAGACCATAGAAGACGTATGCAAGGGGCCAGGCCCACTCGCTGTCTACGTCCGCCAAACCCAAACAGAGACTCCCGGCAATGATCAGAACTAGGCCTATGAGGATGCCTTTGCGTGGTCCAATGCAATCTACCAGGAATCCGCAGGCCACGCCCCCGGACACGTTCACCATCGCGCCTATGCTAAAGACGAGGTTGAAGGCCAGAGTGCGTTCCGGGCAACTCTCTGCATAATCTTCACAGCGATGTCTATACACATCCTCGCTGTTCAGAAGCGAAAGGAGCGACGGCCAGCCGTAGACTATGCCAGTGCCTTGGCAGAAGCGAAGCATCGAGGGCAACCTGTGAAATCCCTGTGGTCTCTCAGTCCTCTCCGCCTGACACTGAAACCAAAATTGACTGAGGATCCAACTCCAAAAACTTTGAAAAAGAGTAAATCCCAGAAGTACGAAGGCGGCAACGCCAGCAGATGTGATGCTGTGCGCCATGGCTAGCTGAACCGGGGCCACGTCCGAGTCAAGTTGTGGCTACACTCAGTGCTACATGTGAAAGCGTGTTTGCCCCACAGGCTTGTGCAGCACTTGTGCATGACTGGCAAAAACGTCTCCGCACGGCGAAAGTCCCAAGAGCCACGCAGGGTCAATTGCAACTGAAAGCTTCAGTTGTGCCATACAGGCTTGACTAGGGAAGTGCTGTGGCTACCTGCTTTTATGCCGACAGCAATCATTTTACCTGAGCCACGCTCGTCGCGGGTGCTGGAGTCTGCCACCCACGGTCTCGGTTCGTGAAACACTGGCAATCTGGACGAAACGAGCTGTTCAGGTGACTTACATCGTGGAACAGCATGTTGGCGTGCGCGGCAGCAGCTACTCAGCACTATACCTGCCGCAACATGTGATTCTTCTGTCCACCGAATATGTGCGACGTGCTGAAGAAATGTGCGCAAATAGTTCGCAGTAGCCAACATGTGCATGACACCCGTGCGTGTGTGTAACGGAGAACAAAGAACCATGCCTCCACGCCACGACCATGGCCTTGCAGATGGTTAGCAAGAGTCAATGTCGTGTTGCAGCCATGCACAATGCTGTGCATGAGTTTGGGCTGGCTCGCTCATGTCTCGCAGCAGACAGCCTACGCAAAGACCCGATTGCAAACACTTCCTTCGCAGCGAACTTCGGTCTTCCAGGTACGTCTGTCCAATTCCCTGTGGGTTTTCATGTGTAGCTCGCGGAGTCAAAAGCATTGCTGAGACTATCACTGCAGCGAGGGCTGCGAGCGCAGCGGCCAACCTTGCCGACATTGTGGTAGCACAGTACTGCAACATGAATGGCCAAACGTTCGAACGATGCTTGCAGCGTGCAAAGAGCAAGTGATGGCAAAAGAAGGAAGAGCAGCTCACCCAAAAGCTTGCATAGCTTGTCGCTCAGGGGCTGTTTGCATCGTTCGGGCTGCTCAACGGAGTCGATCTGCTCCTTCGACCCAGGTTCCGTCGTAACCGACTCCAAACATCTGGGTTTGCATCTTACTCTTGGCTGTGGCTACGTGTGCTTCCTGACTTTAGCATGTTCCCAGTAGCAGATTTCTCAAGTTGCCTGTTCAGCAGCTTGCAGCAAAGCTGCAGCTTTTGTAGTTTCTGCGGCCTGAGCATAGTGGAGGCGTCGTTGCAGCATGGTCACTGTTGGGGTCTCGCGGGAAAACCAGTGCCCACGCATGAGTTGAGGAATTCTTGCTCCTTGTACGAATAAGACTGCCGCACTGCGTAACCATGAACAATGCATATCCCAGGTTGCCAGAGTGCAGACTGGTTGCTGATGTTGCTGCACTGGGCTTGGACTGGATGTCCTGCCCGTGGCAGATTTGCCCTGCACCCTGGGCATCAACTGGGTTCTCCTCTTGCGCCCGGGCATTAACTAGAACTGCTCCTCCTAAACCGTTACCCCTAAACCCTAAACCCCTAAACCCTAATGGTCAGCTGACATCGCCGCCTCCTTCCTTGGTGGGGCTTCCGCGACGGAGCCTCGGAGGGATCATGACCGATGCTGCGGAACGAAAGCTACCATCAACTCTTAACTTTGCTGTTTGCATAGCGACCCCCCCCCCCCCAAAAAAAAAAAAGAAACATATAAATCCCTATGTTACCCTTAATAAGGAAGAATATTTGTATCTTTTCGGGGTTCTTAAGCAACTCGTGGTAAATATATTCGTTTCGAGCATGTTTGCACTGCAGCAAAAGCTCTGGCGAGCCAAGAAATAACTAGCAGCTGCAGACGAATGTTGGAGCAAACGCAGTTCCTCATGGCGCTTGTCAGGTCTGTTGAGATCACGACTCTCAGCACAGCTGGAACAGTCATCCTTAGCTGAAGTTCAACGACCTAATCGATCTGCAAAGGATCCCTATGATTAGACTTTGTGCCGAAGTCGCATCCTGTTCCGCATTTTCTCGTTCAGGCCGCCTGTCATCCTGACAATTCTCAGGCAAATCATCCAGTTACCAAGGGGCTTGACGTGGCAAACCGAACATGAAGTGCTGGCAGTTTGGATAAAGAGACTCCTTGGCTACATCATGTGGCCTCTTTCGCAGCAGTGTCCTCGTCCTTGAGCCGGGGTTTCACCTTAGAGAGCTTCCTGCTTTCCTCATTCTCTGCCGTTTCTCTCTGTGGAGGCGTGTAACTGCACATCCACCTACGGTGAACCACCTCAGATTCTGGCCACCCCAGCCATGGTTTCCACCTCTGGACCACCACACCTCCAGATGATACCCCTCACATCATCCATTGTAGCTGTCTCAAGGCTTACTTGCTTGTGCCATGAGGTCTGGAGTTTGATCAACCTCGTAACCTGGAGAGGACTTATGGGACTTCTGGCCAATGTGTGGTCCGAAGACCGTGTGATCGCAACTTTCAAGAGCTGGGCTTCGCTTTAGTGTGCGTTGCTTTGTGCCAAGGCTTGGGCACAATTCCCCAGGGACCGCAGCAGCCGTTGGCACAAACCTTGTTGCTTCTTATGTCTGACGTGCCAGCTCTTTGCAAACTGAGCGCAGGCAGGCTTTGCACATCTTTTCACGTTCGGATCTTGCTGAAGCCGGCGCCCATGTTGGCGAGCGCTTTAGCTCTGCCTCCCGCAGCAATTTCCGCACCTCGGGATCGTTTGGCCTCAGAGCAGCAGGAGTGTCAGGGGCCGCTGGTGCAGGTCAATGTAACGGCTAAGCTCAATGAGACGTCTCTTGATTTCTGGGACACACATTGGCTTCAGGACATGCATGGTGAGCTTGCATGTCGCCTGCAGTGCTTGCTACTTGCGGGAAACTCTCACCTAAACATGACTGAAAGCAGGGCGCGAACATGGCTTTCTGTGCCGCCGCCAGGCGATCAGATGCCGGGCCTGGCTTGCCTTGGACAGACAAAGGATGGTTGTCTGCGAACATATGACACGTCGAACCTCAACATCATGGCGGCATCCAGTCCGATTTTCCGAAACTCACCAGTCAAACAAGCTGCCTGATCGCAACAGTGCCGCGCCCAGTCGCATCAGTGCCTCCGGTCAAGCCAGTAGGACAATCCCCTCAATACTTATAAAAGCTCCGGGTATTCCAGCAAAAGTCCGACAATGCCCGACATCATTGGCATGTTTATCCGCACGCCTTCGGGGCTTTCCCATCCATGGACAGGGCTGCATCAGCCCATTCGATGGCCTCTGAGCTTAAATCTGCCTTGCTGTGGTGCCCCGCCAGCATTCCACCTTAGACTGTAGCGCTTCTGCGTCGGCCTCTTTGAAAGATTCGCGCCGCAAGCACACAGCTGCAAGGTTCTGCGCCTGAGAGCGGAAATCATAGGGAAGATCGCTCGAAGGTGTCTTGCGAGATGTTTAAAGTCAAGATCGAGACGCCAGGAAAACAGCGCGGGATTCTGGACTCTATCATTCGAAAAGCTCTGAAACTAATTTTGAGTTCCTCATGACAGTCGATCGAGCTCGGCCCTCAGTGTGTGGCTATGGCAAATCGAAGGTCAAAGAGCTCGTCACCTCAGCTCGGGAGCTTCCGTGTCGAGCATGGCATGCTGCTGGTTTCAAAAGCATTGAGCAGGCAGAAGATACAGACAGAGACTTGCGATTAGTGGCCACTACTAAGGCTACTGGTCACAAGTAAAAATCTGCGACCATGAGAGATTGCCAGGGCTAGAAGTACGCCTGAAGATGCACCCAAGGACAACTCGCAAGCTGTGCAAGAACTCGATGTGACGCACGTAAGAGCCCCAAAGTGCAGGAATGTTTGGGAAACATCAGCCTGTGATAACATCAGCGTGCCCTCTTGACCCTGTGTGGTGGACGTAGTGCAGAGGAACCCCAATTCAAGCCAAGCGTGCATTGAGCTGCGAGCCGAGAGTGTTCTCCCTTTGTACCGAAACACAGGATTGCTCTTTGCCTGTGTCTATGCAGCCATTTGATTGATTTCATTGGGAGCCTGGCTGACCGGGCGCAGCTCATTGGCCTAAGTCCGAGCGCGTTCCCGAAGTCCTTCTCAAGACTTATGCGCTCTGCGCTCATACTCAGAGCCGACCGTTTGTCCTTCTGAGCCCTGGGCTGCGAAGCCTAAGATCGCATGGAAAGACATGCGAAGTATCAAAAAAAATGAGTTGCAAATGAGGGACGTTGCAGCTCAACCCTACACCCTTTTAAGCACGGCCTCCTTAGACCCTAAACCCTAAACCCATATCCTTCTGATCCTTGAACCGATCGGCCTAATGGCTTATGGATGCCGGGGTGCGCTTTAACTCTCCTCCCGGCTCTCCGGCCTCAGTCACAGAATGTCACAGAGCTAGCAAGAGCTGGTGAAGGAGGTTTAGGGTTTAGGGTTTAGGGGTGCCTGAAGTCTGAAGTACCTGTCTCCTCAGTTTCTGAGAGCCTGGCCCAAATGGCCTGATCCGTTCCCAGGTCCTGACGGATCGCGCTTGACGTCGTGCAAGACCCGTCCGATCGGTGATGTCAATCCAAGGAAGGCAAAACGGATAGGCCCAGAAAGAACATCCGCTATGTTCAAGCCCTCCGTTTGTTTTCTCGAGCGCTCCAGATGCTTCGCTTGCCTTCAAGAAGTACTCGTCGAACATTGTGAACGCACTCATGACCTTGGTGCAGGATGAGCAGGTTGTTGAAGGCATCGGTGGCTGTTGGTGTAAACGCGCGGCCGCTTGTGCAAGCATGGATGCTTATAGAAAGCAACTGTCTCAGCGTGGTGCCACTCCGAAGCCGTGTTTGTTATAGCGAACACGCCTGAAAGGGATGGCAGTCGCATCACTTCGTATCATGTCATGGCCGACGGGTCTCTCTCCGAGAATCTCCGTCCATTAGATTTCCAAGGTGCCGGCGTACCGATCTCGTGAGTCTTAGGGGCGGAACAAAGTGCTGCGTCCTTAACGTTTGCTATAGGCATCCGATGTGCTACAGTCAAAGTGGTGCCCTGCACTTAGACGGGCAAAACATACTTTTAGGAAGAGGACAGGAAACGCAATCACGAAGAAACCATCTTGCGGCAACATGGTCTCTCCCCAAGTCCCCAAGCATCCACATGGACCCTAAACCCTAAACCCTAAACCCTAAACCGATAAGATGCACCAAGCCATCGGCCCAGTGGTTCAGCGCAGCCGTCTGCACATGCAAGACGTACAGAAGAGGAACGCACTCCCTTTGAAGCAGATTCAGTCAGGGCACCAGTCATTTTCTCGTTATTGCTCACTTGGCCCTCCGCTCTCAGAAGCTCAAAAAGCTCATAAGTTCGCTGGGTTGGCGTAGTGTTCCCAAGCTCGTTCAAGCTCGCCCTTCGCCTGGCAACTTGTGCGCCTTTCCTTTGGCACAGTCTGGGAGTCTTCGGATGCAGGAGCGACTCTAGCTTACATGCATGTGAGCCACACTGCCCAATCACATGCTGGAAAGGCGTAAGCTGCATTGCCTCAGCCGCACAAACAAACAAACAAGTACACACACACACATTGCCTTGCAGAAGCGACAGCACTTCTTCATATTAGCTAACTGGCTTGGGCCTGGCTGGAAACGGGCCAACGCACCTACATGTCTAGGCTTGCCCGGTGTCCGCTTAGACAAGGGCCAGCGGCTTTTGCTTCCGCACAGGCTTCGATCTCTGCCTTCGATGATCTGGCAAAACTGCTCTTTAAATCCTTTGCTATTGCTGAGTGCCCAAATCATGTCGCAATCCAGGCTGAGCCTGACATTCTCCAGCAGCGTTCAGTGCCATGATACTAGGAAGAGCTGTAAAGTCAAGATGAGCCAAAACAAGCCCAAAGGCCAGGCGCATCATCCAACCAGGCCGTCTTTTCCAATCTACGCCAACAGCCAACAGCGTGCATGACGTCGCCTGGCTAGTCATTTTCGACCCCGCGCCCGTTCCTGGTGGAGACGTCAGATGATCTGCCCAGGGTGATAGGCGCGCTGCTCAGCATTTGCCGAAGGGGTCGCGCATCCTTATCGCAGGAAGTAGCACAAGACAAGAGACACCACCTGAATGCAGCCATCCAAGGTGACTCATGTTGCCTGTGAGCGCGGAAACGGTGTCCTCCCTTTTCTTGATTCGCTTCGTCGGGGTGCCAGTTAAAGGCAAGGGACGCATGGCGATGGGCAGGAGGGAGCTCGAGTGCAGGTGACAGCAATCACAAGCCGGTTCGCTGACAATGCGTGCACAGGACATATATCTTAGTTTGTTTCCACGCTTCGAGGCACGGCAGGTACTGAACTGCTTGTCGCAGATCACTGCCGCATGCCGCAAAACCACGCCGGCCCTGTACATGTTTTGGTATGCTGCCGGGGATAGTATACCTGCAGCTTGTGGCACAGCTTAGCTGTGCAGTATTCCAACGGAGGTCCAATCCCAAGAAGAGGAGTAGTCAATGGATTTGCTCTGGCAGTTTGAGAAAATGCTGAGGCTCTCTCCTTGTGTTTCTGGAGCTCCTTGCTTCATTGATGAAACTGTGCAGGTCCTCACAGTGATTGCCGGGCCTTCCTACAAAGCACTTGGGTTTTTTCCTCAGCTCTCACGCTTAGCAAGATTTAGCACCTTTTCACGGCCATCGCTTCAGGAACGGCAAAGCCTTGACTGCTGGTGGCCATCTTTGGGAGCTTGGCTTCAGAACGAGAAGACGAGGTGATCAGAGATGGACATCCGAAAGGAGTCACCAAAGTCACTACAGTCACGCTCGCCTTAACAGTAAAAGCGATATCCGCCTTTCAGTCATCTTCGCACGGGCCCGTCCCCCAGTCTTGCAAGGAGCGATGAAAAATGCCATTTCGGCAGGTCCCTCCCAGGCAGGCCCCCAGGTCGGGGACCCCAAATCTGAGAGGATGGGACAAACGTTAAAAATTAACGTGCGCGTCTTGGACGGGCACTCTCACACGCGCGAGACCTCGCGAGCCTGGAGTGGCATTGAAGCCGGGGACGCCGGAGCCTCCCACGTCTGGGTGTGTTTAGGGTTTAGGGTTTAGGGCTTACTCGGCGCTATCTAGGGTTTAGGGTTTAGGGTTTAGGGTTTAGGGTTTAGGGTTTAGGGTTTAGGGTTTAGGGTTTAGGGTTTAGGGTTTAGGGCCACCCTTGTGCTCTTCACAAGCTGTGCAGTCGGCTTTCACACCTCTAATCTTTGTAAGGCCTCTTTACAGGGCACTCTAACACATCTCACAAAGCCTTCCAGGCCCTAAACCCTAAACCCTTTTTTACGGCTAGGACTGCTGCACTGCCTGCCTGGGACGAACTCTCTGCATCCAAGAAGTCAAGTGCCACTTGCAAACCCGAAACCCTAAACCCTAAACCCCTGCACTCTGAAACCAGAGACTCGCAAACTTCTAGGTGCCCCTTGATGAGCCCGCAAGAAAGCTGCTAGGGCCACCTCAGGCTTCACAACCGGTAGACAAGCCTTCTATGGGCTTTAACAATACTAAAAACCTATATTAATAATCATAGTACTCATGATACTACCAATCATGATAATACATACATAAATAATAAATAAATAAATAGTAAATAATTGCTAGGTTGTCGGGCCGCCGGGTCGAGGGGGTCCACCGATTTTTAGTCACCCTCTACCAATAACCTTTGCCTCTGAGAGTCCACACTTCCAAATTCCAACTGACTGTCAGGAACACCTGCCTTGTTGTTTGCCTGAAGAAAGGTGGCGATGGTAGCCAAGGATTCCTTTCGCACGCCCGAGGCTTGCTCATCATAGAGTCTGGCCAAAATCGAGACTTTCTAATGGCTTCAGGTTAAATTTTTGGTTAAATTGACTTCGCAGTCCGACTCATGTACAGTCGACATTAGCAGACATTTCCGTCGCCCAGCCCAGCTCTTCATCACCCTTACGACGCCTTACGAAGCAGTCCTGGACGTGGGCCATGGAACTTTGCAACTCCCTGACCTGTTGCCTCATACTGGTCACCTCGCCCTTAACATCTTTCACCTGGCGCAGAGCTTCAGCCGGTGCAATGTGGAGGTGTATAAAGCCATGTACTTGCAAAAGGCCTGCGCTTCTCAACTGAAGCTGCCGGAGCTTTCGTGCCCACTGTGGCTTTACCACGCTCACAAGCCAGTCTCGCCTCCTTTCCCAAAGCAGCAATTTGCTCAGCTCCTTCCGGAATACTGGAGAATAAGTGTTGCAAGGAACCTTGGGGGGACCTCTGGAAATAATGAAAAAGCACCCATGGTAAGTGACGGCTTGCCTAGCTCGCTCGCTCCGCGTCCTTCCAGTCCTTCCAAGTCGCAGGGGGCAGACACGACCTCGTCGGCCTCATGCCTCAGCGCCACAGGGCATGTTGCTTGCAGATGTCCCTGGTGCAGGTGACCCTTTTTGGTTCCTCTTGTGAAGAAAGCTCAAGCTTGGGTTGCGGCTCCTTCCTCTTGTGGAGCTTATGGTAGCCTCAGGAATGTCTCAGGGATGTTTCTGCTGAGCAGGTGCAGCTGTGGGTGAGGCTGAGTAGCAGCAAGAGACGTCCACCAGTTCTGAGGATCTTGAAACCCCTTTCTTCGGCATGTGTCTCTCTGCTGCCGTGGGGCCCTTCCTCTTGCGATACCAAACGGCCACTACGGCTCGCTGAATCTCAAGGGTGGCCAGCTCATAGAGGTCGAGCGACTTTGTAAGAAGCCTGGGAACTGTCAAAAGCGTCCCCTCCTCTTCGTGCTAGGCTAGAGGTCCTAGACCATGAGAGCGGAAAACGTGGCATAGCTGTTGAAAGACACTAGGCTCTTATGGCCAAGATAAGAACTCATCATCGGAGTTCCTGATGTCTGAAACTCTCTGCTTGGGAGGTTCATGTTACACGTGTACTTATAACCCAAGTAGAATTAGCTACTAACTACATCTAACTACATCTAACTACCACGAACCTACAAATGTTTACAGGGATCTTCCAACTTGCCGCCGGGAATCTTTAGCTTCGCTTGGCGACGAACCTCGTGTCTGGTGGCCTCGAGGTGCCATGCGCGCTGACCTCAAAATTTGCTGTGCCTTCCGTTTTGGCACTTGGTCTGTTTCGAGCTGGCCAAGAAAAACCTAACAAAACCTAAGTAACCTTCGCGTGGACACTTGAGCTGCTCAAGAAAAATCTTCCCGGAGGCACCACTCCGAAACACTGCATCTTTCCGAAGCCCTTCATCGCAGCTGCTACTGGTAGTACAAAACGAAGCCCCTGGTGCCAGGGATTTGCAGCTAGAAGCTTTCGGTACCCTTGTGTGGGGGGTCAGCTTCTCCAAAACTGTGTTTAGCGCAGTGGCCATCGCGACTGCCCAACTGCCATGGTCATTGGCTCGGGAGTACGCGGCCTTTTGGGGTACGATTTCCACCAGGGAGGGGGGGGGTGGGTGGGTCGAAAAAAGGCTTACGAGCCCACCCGCCGACATCCGCACCTGTGGCATGCGCACGCATCTCTGGAGAAAAGGAGCACTCTAAGCTCGAACCCCCTGGTACGTGGGTAGATGGAAGTCAACACGTTGCAACCATTGCCCTACCTCCAAGAAACCGCTCCCTTGTGCAACGTTTCAAGCAAAGGCGCAGTGAGGAAAATCCAGCATGAGCTGGTGGAGCTTGTCCTGACGCTCTGTCCGAACTATCACTCACGGGCACTCTCGTGCATCTCTCACAGCAACGAGCCTTCATCCCATGGGGGCTATTTCCCTAAACCCTAAAACCTAAATTTAGGGGCAGCAAAAAAGGCTCCTTGTGGAGCTGAAGCAATGATCCACCATGCTCTGACTCGCAGCGCACTGTGGCCAGTCGCTGGTGCGTGCTGTGCTTGGAGAGCACCTGCCCACGCTTCAGGGCAAAGCAGGGTGGATGTGCCTGAACTCATCTTTGTTGGCCTTTTCCATGTGGACGACTGGAGAATGCCGATGCTTTGGACTGTTTTTGCAACAATTTGGGGTGCCTGTGGTCATGTGTTCACTGGAATGCCCGGTCGGCACTCGCACCCGAGATGCATGCGGCGAGCGTTCATCACTTTGAACCCCCGGTTGCCCGAACACGAGGTTGGATGCTCCCTGATGCGCATTTCTACCGGGGTGATGTGAAAGAAAGCTGCCACCCACATGATGTAGGGTTCATTTCTTGTATCCCCAAAAGGACACTCAATGTATACACTCACCAATTCTAAAAAGGAACTTTATATACACTCACCAACAACAGTAATATACACCCTCTTCACATGGATTATGCTGAGCAACAGCTGCATGGCCGTGTCCCAGCCTCCACATCGCCAAAGTAAGTTCCTTCTCCGAACAGCTGGTACGGGGATAGCCTGTTTGGTGGTCGGTTGGGGGGGAGGGTTAGTGGCTAAGAAGGGGGTGCAGTAAACCCTTTTGCTCAGGTCCGATCTTCGAAATCCACTTTTCGGGCCCAGCCTTTCCAGTTGCCGCTGCCATAGCACGTTCTTCTCTTCAATGCGTTGTCCTTGGCAGCTTTCTGGAGCGACACTCGGACATGAATACTTTTAACCCTCAGCATGGACGTCAGAAACAACTGACAGCCCACTTCACACTGCATGCTGGCCAAGCATCTCAGAAATTCCGCGGTATGGGCCTTCAGCCTCTCGCGGTGCTTTCTTTTGAGCTCCTCTTCCTGGGCATGCTTTAGTCTGGCTTGTTCCCACGCGCACCTCGCAACCACCTGCATTCCAAGATGTCCAAAATGCTAGTCGCTGACTGCGACTCATCTGCTGGTTATGCAGAATGCGTGCGTCCCAATGGGAGGCCACGTGGGAACTGCCTCGTTCCTAGGCACCTGAATGCCTGCGCACTAAAACCTTGTTGGTTTCATTGAAGCCGAGATGCTATGGCTTTCAGCCAGTCCAACTTCCTGAGGCCCAGCATGAAACAGGCTGCTGATTTCGGACGTTTTCTCTCTGTACTTTCTGATCATTATGTGCAATCACACCATCGCCGACGCAAAAGCGTGCCTATAACTGCCGTCTGCAAGTGAGCTTTTCCATTGATATCTGGTATCTGCTCACGTTTTATCGCATTGCCAGGGGCGCACTTTAGTGCAAGGTATGCATCATGCAGCCATGGCTCTCAATGTGTCCACCCGACGCCGAGGGCTTCGCAACTCCAGCAAATATACCTTCAAACGCCAGGGTCACGTCTCACATGTCTTGAGATTTGCGCCTCCCCTAGGCCCTGCAAGGCCGACTATGCGACTCGTGTGTCGACTCAAAGGCTCAGGGCTGGCAGATCCCATTCTCCATCTAATCACCTGCCTCGTGCAACCAGGTAGAGCCCAAAAGCCTGCGATCAGAGCTTTCGACGGTCCAAGCACTGCGGTTGCATGAAAACTGCCGCACACATTCATGCACTCATGCGTTGCCAAGACCCATACAACTTAGTTTCCACCAGCACTTGCGCAGTCAACCAGGCCTGATCGTAGCCTCGGATGGTGGGAAAAGTGGGCCCACTGCAGGTGTACGCTCGGACTAAATGCTCGTTGACATAAAACAAAGGAGCCAGAGACTTCCTTCGCTTCATTGTGCCGAAACTATCCTGTTTGCAGCTTCTGACCACCATCATCGGGCTTACTGCTTGCTGGCCATGGCACAGTAGTACACGATTTGTTGATTCTCGAAATCCTGGGTGTGCGTTGGGCACAGACGGTTCCGGCACCCATGTTTTGTCAACATGCATCCTATCCGAAGACGCAGAGCTCCTGGACATCCAGGTTCAATGCCAGGATCATGTGGAACCGAGGTGGCAGGACATCATTGAAATGTGGTCGGCAGACCGTAACAAACCTGTGGCAAAACCCCCCCCCCCCAGGCTGTATCACATCGCTTGCATGGACTGCATGACGTTCCGTTGTGAGAAAAGGAGCAAACAAGATAACTTTTTTTCAAAAATGCCCGAGGCCTGTTTTTGAGGAGCTTCCCTGCAAAGAGAGCAGCTGGCAGCTGCCGCACCTCAGGCCACATCTCATGGAGCGAAGACATGGGAAGGGGAACAACCTTGGCGCGCAGCTGGTTCAAGGGCTCTATGCTGAGGTGGCCACAAGCTGGCTAGGCATCACCCCATTTGTGAGCAGCTCACGCATCCAGGCCTGGCAACAGCTCTCTGCCAATAGGGTCTGCTTGACTCGGGGTTGGGCGAACCAGTGAGCCTGGCTGAGTTCTCATTAAGACTTACTAAGAAAGCTGCAACCAGGATGCGTCAAAGACATGTCACAGAGACATGTCGTGGGAGGCTTCGGAAAGACTGTGACTGAGCTTCTTGCCCGATCCCAGTCGTGCTTGTCAGCCCGGCTCTCGCGCGCCCACTTGACGAGCCTGAGATGACGCTGTGCAAGCGAGGTCTTGCCAGGTCCCTGTGCAATATTCATCCTAACGTCAATGCTCGAGCAGGATGATGGATCTTCCAGATTTTTGCTCTCATAGCTCCCCCCATTCGGGCTACGTCTGTTGCGAGGCAAGCTCTTGCACAAAATCTGCGATGATCCTTTGGACCATGGTAGTAGCTGCGTGATAGGTAGTCTTTAGCTACCCTGGACTTTTGCCTCACTTCAGTCGTCTCAGTCGTCGTCACGGTTGCCCTCGCCCCCACCTTTCGGTCCTCCGGCCTGTTTGGCCATGATGATCTGATCCACTTTCAGGACCGTAAGCACTGCGTCCAGGGTAAAGCGGATGGCCCACTTCTTGGTGTCGGAGTGGTCCAAAATGCCACGCTCTGCGGCGTTGCACACCAAGGTGCCTGAGTCCACATCCACACCCGCAGTCTTCTCGCCCTTCTGGTGGGCTGCGTAGAGTGCAGTGATTGCATCCACGTGGCTGTGGCCAGCGTTTTCGGCCAAGATCTTGGGAACCACCTCCAAGGCTTCGGCAAACTTCAAGACGGCATACTGATCCAAGCCAGGCACTGTGGCGCCAAACTGCTGCAGCTGGTGCGCCAGCTCTATCTCTGTGGCCCCTGCTCCTGCAACGAATTTGGGGTCTCTGCAGGTGCAACGCACCACGTTGACTGCATTGTCAATGGCTCTCTCCAGCTCGTCTAAGACGTTCGGGCTGGCACTTCGCAGTACCACTGTCGAGATCTTTGAGTCTCGGGTCTTTATGATGGTGAACTTTTCGGAAGAGATCTCCTCAACCTTGATGGACTCCACATAGCCGCACTCCTCTGGGAGTGGGGGGCCGCTGCGGATGACTGATGTGGCGCCCACGGTCCGGCAAATTCGTCGCAGCTCGAACTTGGAGGTGATCTTGACGGCCATGATCTTGTACTTGTTCAAGAAGTGCAAAGCCATGTCAGAGATGGCCCCCCCGACAATCACGACTTCGACGCCGACTTCTCTGATTCCTCGGATCAGTTCGTCCATCTTCTGCTCCTCACCCTTGCTAAAGTTCATGAGCTGCTCAGCGCTCTCTAGCAAGACGGTGCCCTTCGTCTCTGTGGTGCCCAGCTCAAGGGCTTCGGCATACACGGCAACCTGCCAGGCATCCGATTCTACGCAGACTGGGATCGGGTAACCCGGATATTGAACTGTCGCATGTCGCCGCACGTAGTGTTTTGCATGGTTTCGACATGTTTCGACTGTCACACTGGTAGATGCGGGTTAAGGGGGGTTGTCGGCTCATGAACTATGGCTTGGGACGACCAACTTGTCTTTACAGTTGGGCGAGCCTTGGTTTTCTCCTTGAACTGCTCCACGCCGGTGCTCCGTCGTGCGATGGCCATGCCCTCCACGACGAAGGAGCTGTTCAAGTTGCCTCCCTGCACTTTTGTCACACGGACGTTGTCCACATCGAATTTGCTTGGCACAGGCGGCATCACCTGAACGCAAGCTTCGGCCACGAGCTTCGCAAGGGGGCCTTCGCAACCCAGCTGCTTTGAGGCGATGGCCGTCTTCACACAGGTTGTTAGCTGCTCAATGCTCTTCAGGTCAGTGCATTTCCAACAGACCTGGTCGGTCAGGAACTCCAGGGCCTTGTTCGAGTTGATCGTTGCTGTTTATAACTACATTTCAACTTATGTTATCTACACATTTCAGACTCACGCTCTCTGCAAACCGAGGGGCCTTGTCTCTCGCCAGCTCGTAGCCCTTGTAGACATCGTTGGCGTGAATGCCCTCCTTGAGCAGTTCCTCAGCCCTCTGCAGCAGCTCGCCGCCAAAGCTGACGCAAAAGTTGGTGCCGTCACCAGACTCCTGCTCCTCAAGAGGAAGCTCCACTCCCCCTCCCCCTATCCTAGCTCCTATCCTACGAAGAGCATACAGTCCCTTTGTGTGCTCTTGTGAGTCATCTTCTGATTCTGCAACCCGTGCCTGCGACTTGGCTGCCATGACGATCAACTTCGCCGCGGGGTGCATCACCTCGAGCTCCGTCACGATGGTATTGGTGTCGCTGGTGACAAAGTGCTTTCCCAGATGGTTCACGATCAGTTTGTTCATGCCATATGGGCCCAGCGAGCTCTTCGTGATCTGAGCCAAGTTCTTGCAGGCCTCGATGTTTTTCAGCAAGGCCTCGTCAACCCCGGAGAAATGCTTGCCGCCATCTTTCAGCAAACTCTGGAATCCGACCTGTTGGTTGAACCTTGGGGCAGATTTGGAAAAAACATACCCGAACTCTCAAGACTCTCATGCCTGAGAGAATTCTGCTGAGCCTATTGCTGCAGCCAAGAAGCATTGCTGCAGCTGGACACCACGCGGAAGGAAGCTACAAAATACTTGATCCATGCAGTCTGGCGACATGATTGTCCCACACGGCCATGAAGGCAAGCTGCTGTCATGACTAGTGACGAGTGACTAGTTCCATCTAGTTTACCTGCAAATGCCGTACGCATCATCCCTAGAATGCGGTGCCCCTGGACTTGCCCATGCATCCCATGCCTTCTATGTGATTCGATGTGCTGGTCACAGTGTTTGCCGGCTGTTGTGTTGGCCAAGAGGCTGATTTCGCAAGGTCCTGCTGAGATTGCAGTGCTCGGAAAAGTCTTGGACAACCTCAGCCGTACAGTGATGAGAAACCTGCATTGCTTGCTCGCCAGCACAAGAACTGGTCTCAGACCCCATCAACTTGCCATACAGCTTCTCCATTCAGTGCCATTTACTTATCAGAACTGCAGCTGCGACGCCTGTATCTGCTGCATTACTCGAGATGCACTCTCATCCAGGCGTGTGAGCGTCCCGATGACTTCGTTGAGGATGATCTGTGCTCTGAGGAGTGGAGGCTGCTATGCCGAGTGCCCTACCGGTAGCAAGATTGACAGCAGGGTATGGCAGATCTAGCTGAGACACGCTGTTCACGATAGCACCCAGGAGCATCGTCCCACAAACATAGCCCATTTCAGCGGTGGTGTATGCTGACATGTCCTGAGCTCTGCCCTTTGGAGGCCATGAACGCAAAGGGCTGTCAAGTTGCATGGTTCTCGAACAACATGACATGGAACATCTTTCGTAACCATGCCGCTCCAAATCCGACAGTCGTGAAGACCGTCAGTACGAAGTAAAATGCATTGAGCCACTGCACCTGGCAAAACCAAAACTCCGCGACTCTGGTTACGGGGCGAGGCCCCTTTCTGAGTGCTTGAGATGCTTATGATTTGTACCCACGCGCTCTTCCAATCTCTTGCTCTTCGGGCACGTGGTGCGACCCTTCTAACTCTTTTTTTTTGCTTCTGTGAATTCTTGCATCTTGACATCCCAAGAACCTCCCCAGCCCCCCCATGCCCCTGATGGCTTAGGTGACGAACGCTCTTCGCCTTCAGCTGCTCCTTTCCCCCGCCCCCTCCCCCACCGCCCCCACCAAAACGAAACGCACAGGCACTCCCAAGGCTACAGGACTGTCCAGCAGGGCTGTCCCAGCTAGGGCGTTTCCGGGTGCCACTCTTGCATATGCCGCAGCTCCTGTTACTGGTGGTCTGGCTTGCATCATGCGACTGATATGCACATCCTGCTGCGACGAGAGCAAGACTGAGGCGAAAGAACCGTCTGTGTAGCACTCGAGCTGCGCCGGCTGGGCGTGGAAAAGAAGCAAAGCAACTCGGGGTGCACAAAGCGGGGCAGTGCAAGTCGGACGTCGGGAAACAACGCGGGAGCTACAAGGCAAGAGAAGAAAGCAGAGGTAGAGATAAAGGAGACAGTCCTGTTGGTCGAGCAGCTCTTATTCGTAGTTTCCACAAGTACCAGGGAGAACGGGATCTTTGTCTCGGGGAGTCGAACGACGAAGAAAGAGACGCAGGCCAACCAGACGGCAACCCACACGGAACCAAAGCCTTCACTCTTGGAAGAAGGAAAAACTGGCAGTGCAGAAAAGAGAAGGAAGTCATAACGGGCTCTGGGCTCGATTGCATCCTGGTCCCCTGGACGGCTGCCCGCTCTCCTGAAGAGACGCCTGATTCATGAGAATAGTAGAAAGAACTTGAAGTCATCGACGGGGAGAAGCTACGAGGGAGAAGCGGTGGTGGAGCCGAAAGCTGAGCAACGTGATGAGCAACCGTAGAATGTAGAGAGCTGCAACATCAAGCTTGCCAAGTAAATGGGCGGCCGTACACCGCAGAAGCATGGGAGACTGACGAACCATACTTACACGGAAGTACGAAGGGGGAGCTGGTAGTGGTCGAGGGGACGAGCACATGGAGGCAGTTGGAGGGGGGAGATGAACAGTCATCAGACGAAACTGTGTGGAGTCTTCACAAAAAACAGCGGCAATACGAGCACCGGCCCAATAGAATGAGGAAGCGAGGGGAAAAGGAGCACTGAGCGCCAGATCGATCTTGTATGTGTGAACCTCTTAATCCTCTACCGTTGTTGAGGATTGAAAGCTTCTTGATGAAATAATGTGCCGGGACCCTCATCACCCTGAGACCAGCTTGCGGAGCTTCGAGCCGCTCTTCATTCTTAGGTGTGGGGCGCTTGGGTTATCTTGGATTTTGCTGCCATTTCTGATCCTGCCTCGGGGTCCTGTCGTGAGCCATCGCTCTTGTAGAGGAGGGTGGAGCCCTGGCTATCGATGACTCGCATGCCGAGCCAGGTGTCCTCCAGCCTGGGCTTGCTTACTTCATGGAGAGTTGTGCCGACCCTGAGCCAGAGGGATCTGAAACACAACGGCATGCTTACTTGTAGCGAAGTCATGCGATATAAGCTTATGCGTGATGCATTGGCTTCCCATGTGGGATTTGCTCCTCCAACCCTGTCAAGTTGTGCAAATCCGAACGAACTTTCCAGGTCCGAGCATCTCGATGGAACCGTTGAGAGCTGCACAAAGGTACCAGCCACAGCCAACCATGTGCGCAACCCAGGACTCAGCAGGACAGCTGTTCGTTTCTTGTTGCAGCATGAAAGCGCGCCCCTCTTCAATCTGCTGCATCGGCAAGCTTCTTCAAAAACATGTCCAAGAAGCTAATGTGCAGAACAGGTTGATGATCCTTGGCTGATCCGTTCGGGTTGACCCGCTGCGAGTCCAAAGCAATGCTGGTCAAAAGGCATGCGGCAAGCAATCCGTCCGACTGCAGCGCAGCGGCCGCACACCCCGGAGATTTCTCAGCTGCATCATGACAGGGCCTGAGCCAAGGTGGGGAAAATTTGAGGATTGCTCGGAATCTCATTTTCAGCAACAAACTCTTCATGGCCAGGGTGCTGTCATCCATGAACCTCAGGAGCTTCCTTGGAAGGGCCACATGAGTAGAAGGGCTTGGCATCTGAGTTCCCAAACCCAAAACGTCGGTCTGACCCAATCCTGATGTCTGCGCAGTGCGCCTGCGCGGCGCCCCAAAAACCCTCTGGAACTGATGACCTGCTGTGCTGCTGGCAATATATTCAGGGTACCCAAAAAGGGGCCACGATGTGGGCCCTTTTTGGGGTTCCTTAAAAGGGATTACATAGTATCTTGGGGTATCTAAACAGCTATTTCTGAAATCCCCATGAAAAAGAGCTGACGATCTATAACAAGCTTAGGGTCGAGAGGTGCACGAGGCGCACGAGCCGTGCCAAGCGGGAGATCCGCTGCAAACGGCTGAAGCGCGCTACCTGAAGCTTTCTTCTAACTTTGTGATTCTTATCCCTTTTGTTTTGGACCAGGAGCTGGTTCTCCCTCAACCCTAAACCCATGCTTTACTCTGTGGAGTGCTATGGCCTGGGCTTCATGTAGTGCAAAGCAGCGGACAGGAGCCAGGTGAGAGCAATGCCGAGCAAAGTCTAGGGTATTGGGGATCCCACATGTGGGGGTATAGAAGGTACTCAGAGGTCTGCTAGAGTTTGCTTCAAACTCAAGAAGCTCAAAACGAGGATAACTTCAAACTTCCAGAAAGTGCCGGCCTCCAAGATATCGCCGCGCCTGGGATGCTAGAGTCCAATATGGGGACGCATGGCTGATAGTGGAGTTTAGGGCCCGCTCCCCCATTTGGTCATTTCGGGGTTAGGGCCAACGCCCCCAAACCCCTCCCACCCCCCCCCCACCCCCACCCGCCCCGCTGATGTTGTGATGCATGGGGCTTTGGCCGCAACATGTGTTTTTCCTGTTGAGCTTTCAACAGGAAAAACCACTTTTGGACTTACAAAGCAATGGGCGCAGGTTGGTTACGCAGATTGGGGGTAGGGGGGCGTTTGGGGCGGTTGGCCTCTTCCCCCCCCTTCCCCTCCCTTCCCTTCCCCCCCCTCCTTGCACCCCCTTCCCTTCCCCCCCTTCCCCCTTCCCTTCCCCCCCCCTTCCCTTCCCTTCCCTTCCCCCCTTCCCTTCCCTTCCCCCCCCCCTTCCCTTCCCTTCCCTTCCCCCCTTCCCTTCCCTTCCCCCCTCCCCCCTTCCCCCCTTGATTTGGAGGGAACTTGGAAGAGTGGAGGGCCTTCTGTGCATTGTAGCTGTACTCATCTGAGAATGGAATATTTAAGGGGCTTAGAAGGACGGGTGTCGACATGTCGAACAGTCACCGTGTGCCACTGCGCACCACTGCAACCGTGGGCAATCTGAATTCGAGGTGTGGCACACATCTTGATGGAACATCGCTTCTATGAGCTGCGGCGGGATGCAAGCCACTAGATTCGGAAGGAAGTAGGTCCTGCCACGAGTGCTGAGCTGGATTCAACTCTTCCGTCCACAAACGGCAAAGGGCCATGTAGAAAACATGCACTGCCCGCCCCAAACACATAGCTGTGGGTCCTGAGGTAGTACCAGGAAGTCTTTCTGAGATCCATCACTTCCACTCCCTGCACAGCGCTTGCTTCCAGACTGGGATCGAGCAACAAATGTTCGGGGAGTTGGGGGCCTTGACAGTGCAGCGTCGAAGCTCCAAGAGGGTTGCTTGCCTATTGAAATACAAACGAAATAGACTTGAAATAGAGATTTACCGGTTCTAATGCAGAGGAAATAGAGGTTTTCCAATAAAAGTACCATTCCACTGAAAGTACTACAACAGAAAATATGAGGAAATAGAGGTATTCTTATTCGAATAATCGAGGTTCTTGTGATCTGGTCTCCTTCCCCATTTCCCAACCTTCCCTCCAGGACGCCCCCCCCCCCCCTCCCTCTGTGGGCCGACGGAGGAGCTGCAGTCCGATGCTGCGGGCACAGGTGGGCTGGGACCCCCGTGGACCGCCTTCGGATCTTGAGAAACCCCTAACCACCTCAGGAATCCGGCACCAAGGCTTTTCGTCGTCTGCGACGTGCACGCTACACCCCGCGTTGGGCCGGCCGGGTTGCCAAGGTGGCACGCGCAAGTTTTTATAATTGTTTATAGCTCAAGCCTGCAAGTTTACAACAGAAGTAAACACACAAGCGGGGCATTAGGTGGGGATCTTTCTTCCGATTTGCAAACACGATTTCTTTAAACAAGTCCGTTTTGTGGCAAGACCTTCTTTAAAACGCGAGCTTGCAGGGCTTCAAAAGTTTGCTTCTGTGTTTGTTTTTTGTTTCTGCAATTTTTTGTACCTTTCTTTTTCTGTTTATTTCTTTCGGTCGTTTTTTTGTTTATTCCTTTCCTTCTTTCTAAACCTCTATTTCATTATATTGTTTAGGAGCAGCCCTACTTCCTCAATATGTTTATGGGAAACCTCTATTTCCTGTGTATTTAACACTTCTTCCTGCCAAACAAAATGCAAAGCGCAAAAACAACGCGAAGAGAAAGCAGAGTGGCGTGGCAAGCCACTAGGCTAACAATTGGCCCACCTGCCTTGGTATCCCGATAACTAATGAAGAAGTTCAAGACCAGGTCAAGGTAGAACAGACCTTGTTGCTCGGTTGCCATCAAGGGCCATCTAGCACAAACCAACTTCGCTAAATTGGGGGAAATCCCTGTGAATGCTAGCTGCCTCGCTAGCCTGTGATGGGACTGTTGCAGCTCTGTGGCAGTTGACCGCGAAGTCGACGGGACGGTCAAAAAGCTCCTGCAGAATGGGTGAGGTGGGGTCCAAGGTGCGGAGGCTTTGCTTCTAGGGTCGTAGCACTGCAGGCCCATGTTTGCTGGGAGCTGTCTAGACTTGAACAAGATGAACAGCAGCCTCAACGATCGTGATTTCAATTGGAACACGGAGGTCAATGAAGCAAAGCCTGCACGGCACCGTGCAGCAAGGACTTCGAACAACGCATAGCTACGTGGACAAGAAGTGAGGCAAAACTGCACGTTGGAAGTTCCTAACTTTTGCCGGCAGAGAGCTGGAAGGGGAAATATGTCGCGGTGTACAACAGCCTGCAATCTCAATCTTGCGGACTGGATGCGCGCCATGAAACAAGGAAGAACCAACCCAGACTGCAGCCATGATGCAGAAACAGAACCTGAGATGATTCGTCTCGGTCGCAGCAGGGTTCGTCAAGCCGCAGGCTTACATTTGGTGACAATTTCGACTTGCACGGTTCCGAGCTTATTGAGACTTCTCAGAAGGTTGCGGATAACTTGTGCTAGGGGCCACCACGTTCCAACCACGTCTGATGTAGGAGTCTTCGACGATGACGAGCCAGGAGCAGCAGCCAGTTGCCGGGAGGTCTCGGCCGCATACTCTGGAAGCTGTGTGCTCGGGCCAATGACTAGACACTCTTCAACTCTGGCAGGCGCCCATCGGGGTGGCTCATCACCCCTACCAGCATCTGCCAGCACACACCCTTACCTTTTTGCAACAAATTGAGGCAAGTGTCCGGTCTGGAAGCTGGGGACAGTCGCATAAGATGCGATGTAGGACTCAAGGTCGTTGCCAGAGAATGAGTTCCGATCAGTCTCGGCAATCCATGGTACTGATGTGAGGCCCAAAACCCGTTTTCCATGAGCCCCACAAGTGCTACATCCAAGGCCAACACTGTGGCAATGTCACTCGGAAGCCGCAGAACTTCTTTGGAGTTGGGATCCGCGTTTACCTTGGCAATGCCAGTGCTTGAGTTACCTTGGCTGGACGGAGCAGGCTGTCTCTCTCTGCGCAGCTGCATGAAAAAGGGTAACTGGATAGCCGTAACCCAACTGCACGAGCAGAACTGCATAACTAGATGAACGAAAGCCAAGCACCAAGGCTATCTTCGGCATTCATGGGCCATGGAGAATGGAAATCTGCTGGCAAAAATGCTGCCGCACAAGAAAACCCTGCTTTGCTAGTGTCTGGGCTGCTCCTGCTAGTGGCCTCTGAATCTCAACAGAGCATGTACAGCTGGGTCGGTGTTATTTGCTTTGCGATCATGCAACAAGACGGTTTTTGGCGCGATCTGGACAGGTGCTCTTAGATTCGCTTCTTGATCTTGCTTCTTGCTTCCTGTGTTCACGGATGTTTGGCAGTCTCTGCTCCATGTGCGCTCTGTCTCGCGCTGTGTATATTTGAGCAGTCGGCAGCGCGCAGGGGCACCTCCGCAACCAGTATACGAGCGTGACAAATCAGCTCAGGAAGCTCCCTGCACTTTAGGACTCCCGCAAGACAAGGTGAGCCACTCTGCGAGGTGTTACCTGGGCACACAGGAAGACAAGCTCCTGAATGGGCTACAATGCGTCACTTGGCGGGATGGGAATGCGCAAGAGGTGAAAGGTGAAGATGGGCATGAACAGCATGCCCACGAAACACTGGCAATTCAGCTCTTCTTTGGGTCTGGGCAACTGCCTGACTGCTACACCGGCAGCGCTCAGTGTGAGCTTGGTGAGACACACATACACACGGCATTCACTCACTTCGCCGGTCATCAGCATCGCCTTGCAGCGACTACGGGCCGGCTAGTGCAGTGTCCCCTCCAGAGAGACTTATCGTAAGTGGAGTATATCGTATCGCTGAAAAAATCAGCATTTACAATTGTCTTTGCAAACTTTTGAACGAGGTTCCTCTTGCCCTATACTTTCCCCAGGCCTTCTTATGATGCCTTCTTCTGCTGCCCGTTCAGAAGGATGTCAAAGTCTGCCAGCTGGGACCGAAGGGATCTGCGCACAGAAGGTGGCCGTACGGAACAGTGCAGGACTGTGAGCACAGGGAAGGTGAACTTCGTGAACTGTATGATGCGCCCGTTCAGAAGGCTAATAAGGGCTGACGCAGCTCGAGCGAAGCCCCGATGTGTTGAGGGTTTCTGTGCCCCTGCCAGTGCTACCAGCAGTGCTTGCAGAGCCATCACCTTTCATGCAAGCATGCAGCATGCGGCGAGTGTACTTACTATGTGGCCCTGTTTTGATGCTCTGCGCTGAGCGATTCGTGTGGTCACCAGTCAGTGGTGCATTGGCGCCAGGACGCCACTGCGCCACCCTGGGGACAGCCCCACCAAGAGATCAGCAAGATCTTCTCAAACGAATTTAGGAGCGCTAGAGCTGGCTGAACAGCACTCTGCGCTAGCATACTCAAAGCTTGGGCAGGCAACACAACACTGCGTGTGACCACTTCCATCGTTGTCCCTGCCCCGCGTTGAGTGTTGTACCTACAAGTTCTAGATCTTCTAGACACACGAATTAACTGCAGCACCGAACTAATTATGCACTGAAGTACTCTGAACAAGACGAGCCGAAAAGTCACAGCTGGGTCCTGTCAAGCTTTCAGCTGACCTCAGAAGCTGCCAGGAGTTGAAGCATCAAAATGCGCAAAAAAAAGCAAGCAAAGTGCCGGATGCTGCTGAGCAACATTCGGATGTTCGCAAAGCTTAGTCACGAACAAGATGCTGGTCTGCTCTCCTCATCTTCAGGCGCCTGAAACATGGCCGCACTGCTCGTGCTTCAAGTTCTGCAAACATGTCAGGTCGAAGTACTCTCGCGCATAATTCTGATAGCTATCCCAAAACATGAATGTGACCTTGCTTTCTCCTGCTGTCTTGAGCATAAGGCGTGGTTTTTTTCCATATTCTCAAAGGTGCTTTTCTTTATTCTCGATCGGTGATGGTTTTGATTTGTATCCCGCCGGTTAATTTGTGTGGGCCTCGCGCCCTCCCATCCCAAGCCCCGGTTCTCGTTTTTTTCTTTAAGGGTTCTTTTGCTTCGCCTCGGAAGTCTGGGGGGATTAGGCAGGAGAGTTCAGTTTCTACGACCCTCGACCCTAACAGAAAAGCTCTGGGGGGATACGGGCGTACACCGGGTGTGCCGTTCCCTAAACCCTAAAGCCTAAACCCTAAGCTTCTACGACTCGACCCGAACAGAAAGCTGAACAAACTGAACAGGACGTGGGCGAATGGGGGGAATGGTGGGCCAGTGCGTAACGTTGGTAAGTGGTGCGTGCTGGTGGGGGTATGGTGGGTAATGAGCAATGGTGAGAATGGCTGGTACGTTCAAAAACAAGACAACCTCCTGAATTGACAGAAGAATCGAAACAACCCTCGCAAGTCCCTCGTCCCGGCAGTGGGGACTAATTAAAGAAGAAATCGTCAGAGTTAAACCCATACGCAGCCCCTAAACATGCAGATGGAGATCTAAACCCTAAACCCTAAACCCTAAACCCTAAACCCGAAACCCTAAACCCTAAACCCTAAACCCGCCAAGCGGCTTGCAAGCGGACGGCAGCGGCTTGCACTGGGCCTTTTGCGAGTGGCGGTAAACCACGGCAGACCTTGATGAAAACATCATCATCCACATAGAGGGAGAAGAGGCTCACGGTGTGCACGGCAGAGCGACGTACCTCAATGACGCGAATTCATGATCCCAGCAGAAGGGACCCTAACCCTAAACCCTAAACCCCTCTTGGCTCGGGGAAGTCGGGAGTTGCCGTTTGAAGTCTTCCAAGCTGCATCTGCGTCTTTGTCTACAGTCATTTTCAGAACCAGCCCGAGATCCTGCGCGGAGCGCTCTTTGTCGAACTTTGCTGGACACGCCCCGCTGCATGGCCTATCTGCCTAGCAGTTCCCTCCCCCAATGTGGGGTTTACGAAATTAAGGGTACCTTACTATCAGGGAATCCTACCATTTGGGGGTTTATAGGGGGGATCCCTGATTTTCGCAAAACCCCCATATCACGCTACACGCCCATCGTATCCGCAGTGAAGTCCTTCTGGGATCGCAGCAGTGCCAATGCAGTGCCTCGGTCTAGAATGTCGCCCACGGCTCGCATGCTGCAGGCTGCTGACCTGGCCGGAAAGACCACTGGCAGGTGTCGACTTCTTAAGTTCCAAATTCGCATTAAAGAAGACTTCTTCAGTATTTTTAAACATCCACCTCTCAACCTGCGTCAGCTATGCGACAGTGTGTGACTCTGGAACTCAAATGCAATCATTAAATCTGGAGGCAGCTGCACCTTTTGCTCTTCGAGGTCAGTCCGTGCAGCAACATGGGGAGCACTCGTCCCCGTGATGAGACGCATGCACACAGCCTGCATCTGAAGATCAACGCTTAACAGAGTAACTTCAATCAATGCAGTAGCTGCCAGTCTCTGTCAGCGTGAACTCTGGGAGCAGAGTGTGTGCTCGAGGGTTCGCGCCTGAGCAGTTCCTGCATGTTCTCGCGTATGACCAGGATGTTGTGCCCGGACCGCTCGACAATGTTTGGCACGAGAATCTGGGTCTCACGATCTGTGAGCTGTATGTCCAGGCCTGGCCAGGCCCATCCGCTCTCGCAAACTTCAGAAAAAGCAGGCGCTGTCTAGTCCAGGACTCTGTGATGGTATCGACACCACACTGTACGCTCAATGATGCCCGGGCACGTTCCAGACTCTGCAAGAGGGTGGTGAGCACATCCAACACGAGCTTCCATACCTGCGGTGATGCAGCTGTCATGACTTTTCGCATTGAGAAGCATGCTGCCATGGGATGGACATGGCCATTGCCATCGAACTTTCTCAATCACGAGCGTGACCGGACACGGAACATCACTACATGCAACCTGTGCGTCGGGCCTTCGTGTTGGCATTTGTCAACATCCTGAGCTGTGCTGGAAATAGAGAAAAACTGCCACAAGAATCAAGCTCTTGAAGCACACACAAAGTCAAAAGCCAAGAGCCGAAAAGCGACCATTTTTTTTGCGAACATCGGAAACAGTTCTGCATATCTGGTGAATAGGAATGTGGTGTGGCTGCCTATTGTGCACACACCCAAGTGCTCTCCGACTCCTTCAGGCTCGAATTCTGCAACTTTCGGAGGTTTGAAAGACCGAGAGGCCAAGTCAGCCACTTGAGCAGCATGTCCACCACGTCTGCTTGCATGATGATATCTACGTACTCGCCAGCCTCCCAGGGATCGAACGATCTGAGGCCATTGGCATAAGACAGGGGCAGTACCCCCCAATCGTCATGCGTCGCCTGTCTTTGCCAGTGCTGCAGCGCTGCAAGCTGCTCTTCTAAGCCTCACTTCATGCTGGAGCTGAGAAAACGAGTGTCCGATGCGCCGCTGGCAAGTCCGGCTCCTGACTCCTGACCATCGCCTCGCCAAACCAGGCCAAGCGGCGGTCGGTAAACATCTGGCGCCACAGCCAATCCTGCGGGTTTACGCCCGAGCATACTTCTTGTGCCCCCTTTTGCGCCCCTTCATCGCTTGCCATGCCGAGTATTGGTTTGACATATTCAATGATGGCACACCAGTGTCTGAGGGGCAGGGACCCATCCCCAAGGCTCTCTCTCGCCTCAATGCAGATGCGCCATTGCTCGCGCAGGGCAGCGAGGTGATCTGCTGGGATGGTCTCCGGACCTCGGCAGAGGCTCGCAGCTCCAAACCTGGAGCCCATGTCAATGCTTTCCTGATTCAACAAGAGCCCGCAAAGGCTCCGACCCCAGTACTGGCTCCGTTCCCTCTGCTGCCTGGCCTGGCGGATCCGTTTCTTCAGATGTTGCTCGGGCCAGTGATTGCTTTCACTAACCTGATGGGCCTAAGCCCTGGTGGGTTTAAACGACGAGGGAGGCTCCGAGCATTCATCGTTCGGTTAAAAAAAGGTAAGACTAAGAGATGGGTCGTGTGAACAAGGGCATCTGTCTTTGGAGATGAACACGAGGCACAAGCAGCGCAATGTGTCCTGCTTGGAAAGCTTGGGCGGCCCAATGTTGAAGGGGACAACGCCTGTAGACAGCGGAATAGCTCATGCGTGTACATTGTTGGGCAAGAATACGTGGCATCGCTCATGCCTTGTCTCTCTATCCATCTGCCCTTCGCCAACATACATCATGCCTTAAGCAGCTGAGGTCTCAGCTCTCTCCGTAGAGGAAGGCATTGTCAGACTCCTGTCTTCCAAGCTTCTTATATGCCCTATCTATCCCTATCTGTAAGCTGTTGAAGGCCCACAAAGGTCCTGGGAGAGCCCATCTTCTCTTGCAGAAGGAGTTCCTGCAACTTGTCGGCGCCTGCAGGACAAGGTACACACATCTGTGAGATGGAGCCAAGTGTGGCACCCAAATCCACTAAATGTCCTTTTCACTCCAAGATCTGGGCCTCGGGGTTGCATCTCTGCGCGTGGGTGTTGGCTCTCGTCGCCCGGTTGGTGTGGGCTCACGCCTGGCTCGGGGTGTTTGCTCTCGCCGAGTTGGCGTGGCCTCTCGCCTCGTGGGGGTGGGCTCTCGTCTCATGGGAGCTCCCAGATCCTTCCGGGCATCCCTGGGCATCAGTACCAGCTGCCTTGTCGGTGTGGGCTCACGCCGCAAGGGCACCTCACGCCTTGTCGGCGTTGGCTCGCGCCTCGTCGGCGTTGGCTCACGCCTCGTCGGTGTCGGCTCCCGCCGTGTCGGTGTCGGCTCCCGCCGGGTCGGCGTTGCCTGTCGCCTTGTGGGTGTCATCGCTTCTCTGCGTGTGCTCGGCTCTCGCTTCGGCGTCGCGTCACGGCCTGGCAAACTCGAGAGCAGTATCGAGCAGCGTTGTCAGGGTTGCACAACTCAGCAACTGCAACATCAAGCAACTGCAACTGAGCACCACTTCTGATCGTAGGGCATGTGCGCTCGACGGAGGCAACTCGCAGGCGCTCTGCTGAAGGTCCACGGAGCCTTCGCAGAGTGATCATTAGATTCACATGGTCGTTACCGGGCTACCATGGGCTCTT